TAGTTGCCCGGGTCCTCCTTCCTCCCCTTCTTGAAAATAGGAACTACATTGGCCCTTTTCCAGTCCTCCAGGACCTGGCCCATGAACTGTGAGTGCTCAAATATTCCCGCCAGTGGCTCTGCAATGATGTCGGCCCGTGCCTTCAGCACCCTCGGATGGAGCTTGTCTGGGCCTGCCGACTTAGACACATCCAGTCTTTCCAAGTAACTCTGCAACATCTCAGGGTCAATGCTTGGTAGTCGGGCGCCCTGCTGTTGTCTCTCTACGATCCCATTGTGAGACTTGTCTTGCCCCTCATTTAGGAACACTGAGGCAAAGAACTCGTTGAGTTCAGCCTTGTTCCCCCGTCTGTCACTAATTGCTTTTGCCCATTCAGTAGCGGTCCTATTCCGCCCTGGGCCTTCCTTTTACTCCCTATATATCTGAAAAACAATTTTTTGTTATGCTTAACTTGGGATGCCATCCTCAATTCCATGGTAGCTTTGGCCTTTATTATTTGGCTTATTAAAGTGCATGTGTAAATGTGCCCTTGGGGTCCAGCCTCTGCTTCCAGAGTTATATCTTCCTTTTCTCTAAACATAATCTCTTGGAAAATGAATACACAGCTCTGGAAGCAGGGATCACATCTCAGGATCTGTCCCTCCTCATTCAATAGTGTTGTTCAGGCCTGGCCTTCCCACAAGAAGGGTCCAGAGGTGGGCAATGAAGATGGTTGAGGGCTTGGAAGGCAAGTCATATGAGGAGAGGCTGAAAGATCTGGGCATGTTCAGCTTGTGGGAAAGGCACTTAAGAGGGAACATGATAGAAGTCTGAAAACACTTGAAGGTCTACCAGAAAGAAAAAGGAAAGCACCTGCTATTTTGCAGAGAGGAGGATGTGGACCAATGGCTTGATGCTGCAGCAAAGTATAGATTGGACATGCAGAAAATCTGCAGTGGCAGAACAGGGAGGCAGTGGCAGAGATGCCAGGGAAGTGGTGGGGACTCTGCATTACTGGAGGTGTCAAGGAGAGGGTGGGCAGACACTGGCCGAGGATGATCTGAGTGCAGCGATGCCTGTGCAATACTATGAGGATTCTCCAGGCTTCTGGTCTCTGCTGGTTCATGCACGGGGGTGGGAGGGAATTCATGCCTTGCACCACCTGATTTCTGCTCCAGGGCCAGGGTGTTTTTAAGCCAAAGGCACAAGGTGTTGGTTGCAGCCCAGGCTGGGTATGGCGCATGGGGACGGGGACTGGGCTGTGCCAAAGGTCTTGCTGGAACCAATCCTGCAGGGTCCTGGCTAGAGGGTCTTGCCCTTCCGCTCAGTGAGACCGATTGCCATACTTAGGTTGAGGAAGGAATTATGTCCCCATGGTCAGATTGGCACAGACTGGAGGGTTGGGGTTTGTCTTCCTCTGTACTAAGGGATGTGGCCCTCTACCTGGGGGCTCTTGAGCACACATTAACACCCTTTTACAGAAGCAGGATGTTGGCAGCCACGGTCCCCCTGCTTTCCCTGGGGCAGGGGCAGGTGTGATGCCTGGTGCGGTGTCAGGTGGGACCGTATCATTTTGCTCAGAGGTTGGACACTGGATGTGTCTGGGCTGGTTTGCACAGGGCTGGTCCTGCCTGGGGCAAGGGTTGGGCCAGATGTGACCTCTGTAGCTCTCTTCTAGCCCCACTTCTCCAGGAGTCTGTGAGCTTCGAGCTAGGCCCTGAGGCCGGGACACAGTGGGGTGACCCTATTACTGATGCATGGTGCTGGTATCAGCCTGATGGGTCCGTCCATACCGAGCACAGAAACCCCTTCCCCACCTCTCCCCTTCTCCCCCCACCAGCAGGACCAGAAAACCACCTGCCTGGCCAATGCCCCAGGGCTGGAGGGCTGCAGGCCACCGGGTAACAGGATACGGCCCCAAATCCCTGAGGCTGCTACCATCACGTGACCATCCGCTGTCTGCCAAGGGGGCTGATTTCCACAGCACGTGGGCAGGACCAGCACCACAGGGCCAGGTGTCCACAGCTCAAAGCCCATAGCCCCATGAGCACTAATTATCCTCCTCATTAGCAGGCTTAGTAGTGGGGTCAGGGGCTTCTCCTCCACCCCCAGGGCAGGGCTCTGGGGTAGCTGCTTATGCCTTAGCTGCAATGTAGGGCTGGCAATTTTATTTGGCCCTGGGACCTGAGTCTGCACTCCCCTACCTCTGCCGGGTGCCGTAGCAGCCTTTCTGCTCCGTGGTGCATGCAGGGCAGGGAGCTGCTTGCAACAGCTTTGCTCGTGGGGCTGCCAGGCTCCAGGCCAGGGTAGAGACGTGGAGGGCCAGGGGAAGCCACTCTACCAGGACACTGTTGTGTGTGCTGGGAGTCCTGCATTGCCCATTGCAACCCAAGTTCAGGTGAGGGGTGGGCTGAGATACCCACATGCGTGCATGCACCCAGGGACACGCTGCCTTGGAGCTACAAGGCTGAGGGGCTCGCTGCCCAGCGGCAGGGTTGAATGCGGGTGCACGGGCTGGGAAGGGGCAGGAGACATGGGCTCTTCTTGCACTGGCAGGAGGTCACCCCATGGGAAGAGCTCCATGGAGCAGCCATTCACACCAGGGCGCAGCAGCCCCCAACACAGGTCCTAGTAGCTTAGCTCCCCCTCTGCCTGCTAGGAAAACCAGCATCAGCAACTCACATAGAGGGTGCAACTGGGGAGAGTTTGGGGCCTGGGTGGCTCCATCCATGCCCCTTCCCACCCCATCACAGGGGCTATTCCCTGGGGTGTGTCCGAGATGGCTGGGGGTGCAGGCCCTGGTCTCCAGCGCTGCCCTATGAGTGCAGCAACGACGTGGCGCGGCGGATGTGCTTTGTCCCTTGGCGAGCGATAAGCTGCTGCTTCTTCCCGCCCGGCGGCTGAGCCTGCAGTGCCCAGGGGCTGGCTCCAGCAACCTGCTGAGTCTCTCTTTGCTCTGCCCAACCATTAGCCTTTGACACCTGAGGGCAGCGGTGCATGTGATCTCCAGTGGACCCTCCCTCATGCCCTGTGGCCAGGCGGACCCTTGGCATCGATGGTGCCCCGCGCCCCCCCACTCTGTTGGGGGCACCCCTCACTCCTGCACCCATTTCTCTGCCCCCAGACCAGCCCAACCTCTACACCCCACGACAGCAATGTGCCCTGTGGCTGGTTTTTATTACACAACGGTTGTTTGCTGGTCGATCCATACAGCAGAGTCCAAAAGTCACATATTAACAGTGCAGAGAACACCCCCCGCCCACCCCACCCCACAATCACAGCCAGACGGGGGTCACGAGAGAGACCTGGACAGACCCGGCCAGGCCTTGGCGTGACCCCCAGAGAGTGCAGGGCCGGTGCATAGCCCCGCGGGAAGGAAACGCAAACCACATGCACTCAGAGTGGAGGGCACGGGATGGGGTAGGCAGTTCGCCCTGCTGCCCTCCCATGCTGGGAGAATGGGCCCTGGGGAACTCCACACCAGGCAGGCCCTCGTGGCACCACGGGCTCCCCCATGCTCCTGGCCTGGTCCTTGTGACTCCTTCCAAAAGCCCTTTGGTCATTACTTGCATGGCCTCATGGGTTCCCTGCTGGGCAGAGGCCCATTCCTGCAGCTGGCTGGGGCCACGGGGGACTGTGGACCGACCTCCTTGGCTGGAGGGACCCAGACCCAGAGAAGCATCACCCCAGAGTGGCCGAGCTGCAGCCAGTCGCCCGGTCCGAGCCACTGCCAACCCAGGCACCATCGCAGGTCTGCCCGTGTTTCCAGGCCAAGGTACACCTGTATCTGTTGCCAGTGGCTCCCTGAGGCTGGCACCATGTCTGCTGCCTGTGATCCTCCTAACACACGGGGATGTGCTACCTGTGGTCACACCCACGGGCAGCCACTGCCAAAGCAAGGCCCAGACTCATTCTCCCTGGAGGGAGCGGACTCATCTGTCCTGCCATAGCCAGATGCCTTGACCAGTTTGTCCCCACTTCTCACCTCCCCTTGTGCCGGCCTAGGGTCATTCCAGGTAGTGGGGGACATTGTGGGCACTGGGTGGCAGGCAGGAACCAGTGGGCATTGCTGTGCTGGGAGATTTCTTTAGCCGCAAACCCACTGATGCGGAGGAGGAGGTAGGTGTGGAGAGACCGTGCACCCAGGCCAGGGAGGGGATCCTCTCTCTGTCTCTTTGCCCATCACCGTGGCATCGAGGGGCTGCTCCATTGAGCGGCAGAAACTTTCTAAAAGATCCTTCCCATTCCCCCAGCATGGGAGAGCAGCTGGATGCTGGGAAGTGGGCAGGGAGGGTGGGCTGGGGGCTGCCTAGGAGGGTTTCTTTAAGTGACAGTTACAACGGCAACATCATACAAGCAAACCAGAAGAAGGGCCCCAGACGAAGGAGTGAGTCGTGCCCCTGGATCAGAGGGCAGAGGGGCAGCTCTGGGCTGGCAGCAGGGGATGGACCCGTGCCAGCCCAGAGAGCAGGGGGAGGAGAGAGGAAACCCCAGGTGTGCTCAGGGGTGAGGAGCTAGCGCTGGCAGCTCCAGGGGCTCAAGGAAAGGCTCTGGCCAAATGCAATCCTGCTACGGTGCCCATGGCGCTGGGATGAAAGCCCGGGGCCTGGTTCCAGGAGAAAACCCTTGCCCCCCTCTCTATCTCAGAGACGGGGTCATCCTTCCAGCGATTCCAGCGGCTCCTTTGGTTTGAATGTCTGGGGCGTGTCCCAGGGCTCTTGGCCAGGAGGGAGTCTCATGCTGGGGCATATGGGCCCTGTATGTACCAAACACAAAACACCACACAGAGCCAGTGTCCAATCCTTGCTGCCAGGCTGGCAATCCGGGCACCCACTGCTGGAGAGAAAGCTGCTGGGCTCCCATCCTGGCGGAGACACTACAAAGTCTCGGTGCCTGGAAGGTCGCCTCCGCTGACCCAAGGGAAGATGAAGCTTAGGAGGTCCATTTCTGCACCCTCCCCCTCCCTCCCCCCTGGCAGCAGCGGGACACAGGATGGTCCCATGGCCCAGTCCCTGGTGACCTCATGCCCCCAGAAGCTTCTTGACCATGTAGCCAGGCATGCTGTAGAGGAAGAGTCCCACCATGATGATGAGCAGCAAAGCCAGCACGATCTTGATGATAAGCCACTTGTAGCGGGTGCAGATGAGGTACTTGATGGACTTGAGCGGGTTGAGGAACCAGATGAAGGAGGTGTCGGGGCGGCTGTCCGGAGGCAGCGGCAGCAGGAAGGGACAAACAAAGCCAAGGTAAGTGGTGTTAGGATGGTGTCACACATCAACTTAACACTTATTAAAGGCATGTAGAACTCAAGCAGATGCATGTTTAAGTATTTTAGTCTGTGTTAGGTGCCCTCCTAGGGTGAAGTTACACGTGACACTTACATCACACTCAGGGCACTGAAAACATGAGCATCCACACATTGACACTCATTAGCTTGTGCTAACGAGCATTTGAAAGTGATGCCACTTAAGGCGAGGGTTAACTCGGGGCTGTGCTACCCAGCTCATGTTAGGATAACCTCACTCTGCTCCACAGAGATAAAACAAGCAATTTACAATCTTCCAGCATCCCACGACGCAATGCTCCTCTCCAGAGCAGGGACAGAGCCCAGGTGTCCTGGCTTCTAGCCACGTCCTTGCTCACCAGTCCTCTAGTAGCAAGTCAGGGCAGTACAAGCAAGAAATGGTATTAACCCTTCAAGTGTGACTGCTCCCAGCACTCCCTAACTTTAACACGGTTCCACACTGCGCAGGGGTAGCACAGGCTGAGTGCGACACGCAACATCACCCTATAGCACTGAAAAGTTGTTCCCTTTCAGGTGAGGGTTATCTCCTTGACCTGTACTAACTTCAGTAGGTCACCACATCCCGATGATTTGCAACTGCTGCGAGTGAATGCATAATAACGCCATTGGGAGCAGCAGCAGCAATGGCCGGAAAGTGCCTTGCTGACTAGCATTAACATCCTCAGCCCACCTCTGACCCCGCAGCAAGGAAGACATTCTCTCCCAAGGACATGACTTTAGTCTCATCCAGCTAATCAGGACCCACGTCCTCCTGCGCTGTACAGGGCAGGGCCGTGACCTACTCTATTGCCCTCATTTCCCCATCCCTTCTCCTTTGCTCTGAGGCTCGGTGGCTTTACACAGACCCAGCATGTCTGAGCCAAGCTGCCCACCCCTCCTTTGTCCAGAGGCTCCCCAACCCCTTCCACCTCCTAGCTGGCCACAGCTCTTCCTGGCATGTGCTGGCTCTGACCTCCTTGAACACCCGTGCTCTTTATCACCCCTCAGAGAATGAACCTCAAGCTTTGGTGCCCATAGGCAAAAGTGACCTCAAGACCCCAACTTGAATCCCTGGGTCTTGACCCAACCCATCCAGGACCACAGCTGGGACCCATGTGTGTCAGCACCAAGTCCAGGAGGAAGAAGAGGAGGAGGCAGAAGTACCACGAGTGAAAGGAGAGGTGCCCTCAGGCCCCGAGAATCTTCTTGACCAGGTAGCCCGGCATGGAGTAGAAGAAGAGGCCAACCATCAGGAGCAGCAGAGCAAGGAGGAGGATTTTGAGAAGAAGCCAGCGGTACGTGTGCCAGAGGAAGTAGCGGATGGACTTGAGGGGGTTCAGGAACCAGATGAAGCTGGTGTCCGGCCGGCTGAGGACGGGGATGGGGATAGGAGGGCAGAGCGGCCGGAGGGAGGGAGAGAAAAGCAGAGAGACAGAGAGAGAGAGAGAGAGCAAGGGGGAAGAAGGAATGATAGACAAGACAGAGACCTTTCAATAGAAGTAAATCCCAGGGCTACCCCCACCAAAGACCCAACCTCAATGCCCTCCAGCCTCCTACCCAGACTTCACCCCTGGCATGCAGCCCGCACCCCGACCAGAGTCTCAGCTTCCCTTCCGTTAACCCTCGCCCCATGGCACTCACTTGGGCTTTTCCAGTGGGTCGGGCTCATTGCGTGCCAGCCCCGCAGGGGATTTCTCTGCCTCCTCAGCTGTCAGCAGGTGCAGCTCAGCCTCCACCTTCCCCTGCAGGGAGCACAGAGGGGGAATGAGATCTTGCCACCCCAGGCTGAGAGCTCTAAGGGAGCAAGGGGCAGGGGCACCCTGGTCCAGAGCCTGGCGAAGCCCTCAGCACAGGGCCTCAGCGGTGCTGGGTTCCCCATATATGCTGTGCCCTTCAGTGCATCTAATCAGCTCCCCACATGCTCCCAGTATCCTCAGCACTAGGAAATGGGCCAATGGGCTGGAGCAGTGGAGGAACGGTGCCTGGCAAAGCAGCATGGATAATACATGAGCTGACACCAACTCTGTGCAGGTCTGAGGTCTCCTGGGATTCCCTGCCCGTCTCCACGTGGCTCCATGGGGACCAGCAGCCTCTGAAGCAGGGTGGTGCAATGGCACCAGGGGAACAGGAGGGCCCCCAGCAGGAGTTAGGCTTCTGGTGTGAGACACATTGGCTTCTGCCATGTTCCCCTATCGCAGCCCTGGGCTCCTGCCCCTGGTGCTGCTGGTGCCCCTCACTCCCAACCTGCAGCCCCATTGCTGCCCCATCCCTGGGCTCTCTACATGCCCCTACCCAGGGGTCGTGGGCAGAGGCAGACCTAGGATTTTGAAAAGGGGGGTGCAAATATCTATGTGCATCAACACATATTTTTCTCCTGTTAAAGAGAAATTAGAAGCGTTGCTAATCTGGTCAGTGCCTAGTACTATATTATTTGGGTTAAGACCAAAAACTAATATAACTTTATTGGAGGGTCACTAATTTCCAGCTAGATTATATATTAACTGGAAAAACACAACAAATTAGGCAAAAAATAGTCAAAAGATCTTTTGTCGTTATTCCTGTAGTCGTTATAATGAAATGTCCATCTCTCATTCAGATCAGGAAAACAAAATTTAGCCTCTTTGAGAGACTTGACAGTGCCTCCAGTACTTCACTATCAGTCATTGGTATGCCTGAGTTAACATGACCACACTTTACTTATAATGTGTAATTAACTGGCAAATCACACAAAGGTTAAGGTTTTTAGGTAAAGCCAGAAACAACCTGCAAGGCTGTGAAACAGGTAAGAGTTATTACCAGGCATGGCTACCAGACAGCAGAATTGCAGAAGAAAGGGTAGCTTGATCAGTGGAAGATCAAGACCAGTAAGAGGGACAACCGGGCATTAATATCTATGGAATGAAAAGAGATTAGCAGGAATCAGGGAGACAACAATAAGCCATGAAGTCATGTGACTCCCTCAGCACTGTCTGAATAGAAATGTTGTTCCCTCTTCTGGGAAGTTGGTTTTAAACTTTGGCTGGAGCAGGAATCAAAGGGGGTGGAACTGCATCACTGCAGCCCCTGGCTTCACCCCTGCCACTGGGCATGGCCCAGCTCCCTCAGTCAACCAGTGTCCCCACACTGTGAGGTCCTCACCGTGACCTCCATCTCATCATCCTCGTTCCGGGCGATGAATGGCCACCAGCCCTTTACCCGCTTCTGCTTGAAGATGGAGAACATGGGCAGGTCGGTCTCTGTCACCATCTCCAGGGTACACTGCTTGGCCGTCTTAGCACCCCGCGGGAACCGGTTGAGGTCCAGCTCGATGGCGCCTGGTGAGGGAGGGGGTGGTGACTCCCAGCCCCTGCACCCCAGTGATGCCCAGGCAGGCACTGCACAGCTGGTGCTGGGGTGGGGCAGCGCCCCAGCTGTGTGGTACCATCCTGTCTGGCACCTTGCACCTTCCCCAGAACCTTCCCATCCCTTGCTCTGCCCCTTGTTTTGTATTCATAGATCATAGTTTTGCGTAACAGATGAGTTACTTCTCTGGTGCCCTCTTGTTCCCCTCTTCCCCTGGTAAGTCCTACATTTAGGCCCCTCCTCTCCTCTGGTTTTGGGTCAGGATTGACTGTGTCATCTTAGTTTTGCTAAGAGGTTACACAGTGGGTTTGTCTAGGATGGTTTGGACAAGGATAATCCTGCTTCAGGCAGGGGGTTGGACTAGATGTGATCTCTGGATCTCCCCACTTCTCTATGAGTCTATAAACCCTGCTACACATTGCACATAATACACAATTTACTGGCAAATTACATAATAAATTTAGACTGGCCATACATGCCAAGTATGACTAGCCTGAAGTGCCAACTCATTATCGTACCATTAACCGGTGAGTCACGCAATAAATTTAAACCGGCCGCATGTGCAGAGTAATTGTCACACCATGAAAATGGCTGTCCAGCTACAAAGTCACTGCTTGAACATATGTAGCAGCTTGACCACTAGTTTCTATCCGGCTTTCATTTGAATGTGCAACAGGGCTCTAAGGCTACGACTTGCCCCAGCCTTATTTCAGGACTCATCCCACTCCCTCCAGTCTCATGTCCCTGGTGACAACAGCTCGGAGCAGACCCCCAGGGCATGGTGGAACTAACCCCTCTCACCAAACTTTCTGTGAGGCACCCGAACCCCAACCCAGGCTGGGCGAGCTCCACATCCCGCACGCACCAAGGAAGTCGTCAGCGGAGAAGTGGTCGGCATCCCAGACCTGCAGGGTGAGACGTGCAGGGATCTTGTACTCAGTCTCATCCCAGGAGAACATGGACTCCTTCTTGGAGATGACAATCTTCTCCTCAGCCATCAGGTAGTCAAATGGGAAGATGTAGCGCCAGTTGAAGTTGCCCTCACCCGTCAGTGAGTGGTAGTGGACGTCTGTGTCCTGCTTGTCTTCCTGCTGGCCTTTCAGCCACCTGGAGAGACCGCAGAGAAGGAGCCCATTACTGGGAGCAAAGGGAGCTACGTGGACACGGGTAGGAGACCACACAACGAGGCAACACAAAAAGCCCAGACTTCTTGGTGTTCATCCCATTCCCCACACTGGGATTGTGGCCTTCAAACCACATCACCTCCTTCAAGCCCGAGCGTGGCCATGTCCCTTGCCAGGGAGCTCCCATGCCCTTGGCCGGTTCCCCAAGCCGACGCACCCTCGCACAAAGATGTCGCTGCTTTTCTCCCCGGTGAAATAATCATCATCTTCCAGGACGACCTCGTCCGTGTTCCACACGATGACTCTCAGCTCGTATCTGGTGGGGAGGAAGGGAGACGAGGAGGTGAGGAAAGGCTTAGGGCAGGGAGAGGGAAGGAAACAGGGAGGCAGATTCTGCAGCAGTTACACACGGTGATTGCTACGGAACAATCTACCCCAAAATTTGTCCCGTCGTGAGAAGTGGACACATGACAGCTCTTTTGCATGGAGAGAGTCCAGAGGTGGGCAACAAAGATGATCACGGGCTTGGAAAGCAAGTCCAACAAGGAGAGGCTGAAGGAGCTGGGCACATTCAGCCTGCAGAAAGACGCATAAGAGGGGACAGGGCAGCAGTCTGCAAATACCTGACAGGCTGCCATAAAAAAAGAGGGAAAGCACCTTTTCTCTCTCGCTGCAGAGAGGAGGAGGTAGACCAATGGCTGTAAGCTGCAGCAAAGTCAGTTTAGATTAAATAGATGGAAAAACTGCTTTACTGTTAGAGCAGGGAGGCAGTGGAATAGATGCTTAAGGAAGGGGCGGACTCTCCATCGCGGAAGGTGTTCAAGGAGAGGTTGCGCAGCCACTGCCAGGGGTGATCTGGGTGTAGCAATGCATGTGCTCTACTGTGGGGATTACCAAGGCGTCTGGGCTGTGCTGTTTGCCCCCTCTCTCCTTTTCTGCTATAAGTGTCAGGGTATTGCTAAGTCTTCCCAGAGGCGCTGGGTGCTGGCTGCAGCCCAGGTTGGGGATGGCGATCGGGCTGTGCCAATGCTCCTGCTGGGACCAAAGCCGGAGGGTCCTGGCTAGAGGGTCTTGCTCTTCGGCTCAGGGTCAGACCAATGCCACATTTGGGGTCAGGAAGTAATTTTACCCCATGGTCAGACTGGTGTGGACTGGCGGGGTGTTGCCTTCCTCAGTAGCTGGGGCATGGCCTCTGTCTGGGACGTCTGGAGCATGTATTGACTACTTTTTACAGAAGCAGGACGTTGGCAGCTGTGGTCCCTCTGCTTTCCCTGTGGCAGGCTCGGGTGTTAGGTCTGTGTCGTGTCACGTTTGACGGTAGTCTAGATTGTGGTTTGTCTGGGCTGGGCTGGACAGGACTGACCCTGCCTCAGGCAGGAGGTTGGACTAGATGTGAGCTCTGGAGATCCCTTTCAGCCCTATTTCTCTATGACTATGACCACAACCACGACCATGACCATGACCACCATCTGCACTGGGTGACCTTGCCACTCAATACACAGCGTGCCGATAGCTCAAATGGGTACCTAGATGATACTGGGTAGGGAAGAGTGGCCACATGAAAGGTACCCCAGGGTAAGGTTACTACACCCTCACGGCTGGAAAGGTTCAGCCCTGGCTCCTGGGACACTGCCGAGTGGGGTTTCCCTGCTGCCCTCCTCGCTGCACCCCAGATGATCCCAGCTTATTGTTCTCTCTACCACTGGGCTGAACGCAGTTCCTGAGGCTTCAGCACTGACAACACATCAGCAACACCTGGTACAAGGACAGCAATGATGACACCAGGTCACAGGCACAACGAGCCTGCCAGGCCACCATTCAAGCTGGGCACCTACAGGTAGGATGTATCTGCTGCAGTTACGTCACTGAGGGCAGGGGAGAGGAGGGGAGGCCAGTCCCTGCCCCGGGGTGCATTATAGAGCTGAGCACAAATGGGATGATTTGCTAGGAACCCAACTAAGCTTTCTGGGGCAGAGGCAGGATGGGGGGGTAGGATGGGGGTGGAAGTGGGTTCAGCCCATGACAAGGCTACCCCTTGCAGGCCGTGACCGATGGGCTCTTACTTCTTTGGCTTCCTGGGCGAGATGTCGATGGCCGTGCCTGGCGCCGGCATGTCCATCGGGAACATGTCCACCCACATCTCCAGCCGGCCCTGCAATGGCAGGAAGACCCGGTCAGCTTGCTTCCTCCACCAGGCTCCCTGCCCAGTACTCCCAGCAGACACTTCCTTGGATCCCACTGCTAACACCAAATGAAACAGCTTCAAGGAGCTTGGACCAGGGGATGGGGCCTTGGCTCCACCTCACCTCCCAGGGGCAAAGAGCATCTTCCACCCATGGAGTAGCTAAGGGGAAACAGGGCAGGGGGAGGATGAGGAGGGGCCCTGGAGGTATGTGGGCATGGAGCAGGGGGCAAATGGAAGGGGATTAGGAGCTAGAAGCACGTGTGCATGGGGCACAGCCCAGTGAATGGGAGTGCAGAGCTGCAAGCGTGGGATGGGGGAGCATCACCTGCTCGATGCCAGGCTTGTCGGGGTTGAGCAGTGGCCGCGTCTCCACATGCTCAGGCACCAAGCGGCAGCCCACGCGCGGGATGTCCTCCCAGTGGTGCAGGACCATCAGCCCCAGATGTTCATCCGTCTTCTTCTTCTGGCCTGCAGGGGCAGAGCGGAGGGGGTGGGTTGGCATGCACGCAAGCCCCACAGGGGTTTTTGCCCCAGACTCCCAGCATAGGGACACAGAGACGCAGCGAGTGCCATCTCCGCACCCCCTCGGGCGCTGCAATCTCCCAGCTCTGAGGGGTGGAAAACCCCTTTCCTCTCCACCCTTCTCATACCCACGCGGCCCCAAGCCTGGACCCAGCGCCGCTGTAATACAATAGAGGTCTGCGGCATGGCAGGGAGCTAGGGAGGCATGGTGGGGCGTGGGGCTGCGCATCCTGCCCTGCCTTACTCTGCCACCCATCACTCACCATTTTCATCCTCGATCTCGGTGGGGCCAGTGAAGACACGATTGGCCACCTTCACCCGTCCGCTGGGCCCGAAGTGGGGCCCATCCACCTTGCCCTCCTTGCACAGCTTGGACAGGATCTGCGTGGGCTTCATGGGGTCTCGCCAGATGTTGTAGCCATGGCTGCAAGCAAAGGGCAGGGGTCAGCTGGTGGGGGTCCAGCCCTACAGTGACCCCTTCCCCATTCCCCCCAGGCTGGGCTGCCAGCACAGGGCCAGGCATCGTTCCCAGTGGGGTGGGGGGTCCTTACATGGCATAGTTCTGGGAGATGCCGCAGGTGGCCCGGTGCTTGCTGTAGTAGCGGTTCTCCAGGTCGATCTTGGTCTCCCCGATAAGGTCGTCGGTGCCCACTAGGTCCCAGTCGTACACTGCTATTGTCAGCATGGACTCCATGGGGAAGGTGGCCTCGATGTCGAACGACCTGGGCACAGGGGCAAGGGGAGGTCAGCTCGGGCTCCGACCCATGGTCCATGATGGGTGGCAGTGCCAGGGTGGGCTCCAGACACCAGACTGGTCAGGCTGCTGGTCTGCCAGCCCTTGTTGCCTTATTGCCACGGCTATGGAGCATCCTGTGGCCGACACAGGTGGGGTGATGCTCTCTGATGTACCTGCAGCATCTTGGCGGGCTCTGCTTTGATCCACCCATGTGTGCTAGAGCAAGCAGCTCCAGGAAATGGGCCCAGGGGTGGAGCAACTAATGGGGAGCACTGGGAGGGTCCCATGTCCCCTCAGGGAGCAAATGCTGTCATCCAGGTCTGGTGCGCCCAAGACAGCTCTGCTCCCTGCCATTGCCCCGTTGCCTCCAAAACAGAGAACAGTTCTCTTCGTGACAAGGTTGAGAGGGACCCCCAAGCCCTTGAGCCAAAAATCACAGCTTCAAACCCAGACCCCAGAGACAGGGAGCAAGCCCTGAGACACCAGGAGTGCTCTCCATTGGTGATGGGCTCTCCATCCCTGGGGGTGTCAAGGAGAGGGGGGACAGACACCGCTGGGGGGTGATCTAGGTGCAGCGATGCCTGTGCTCTGCTGTGGGGATCTGGGTTCTGCTGGTTGCCCCCTCCCCTTTCTTCTGCTTGTGTCAGGGGGTTTTGAAGCCTTCCTCCCAGGCGCCGGGAGCTGGCTGCAGCCCAGGCTGGGGATGGGGACTGGGCTGTGCCAATGCTCCTGCTGGGACCTGGAGGCCCCTGGAGAGGGTCTTGCTTCTCTGCTCATGGTCAGACCGATCATTGCATTTGGGGTCAGGAAGGAATTTCCCCCCCCGGTCAGACTGGTACAGACTGGGGGTTTGCCTTCCTTTGTAGTGGGGGCACGGCCTCTGCTTGGGATCTCTTGAGTGTACATAGAAGCAAACCTACTCCATTCTGGAAAGGACCTCTTGACTCATGAAGCCCTGAATTAATAGGCAACCATTTATCCAAAGAGTCCCAACCATGATGTCCTCAAACTCCTCATGCCACAAAATTGTTCCCAAACAGTAAAAGAAGCAGAAATCCCAGAGCTACAGGGCTGGCAGAGGTCACATCACCCCTGTCCAAACCAGCCCAGACAAACCCAGTCCAGCCTCTTTGTACACCTGCTGTCGAACCCGACACAGGACATCACACCTGAACCTGCCTCGGGAAGTGGGGGAACAACAGCAGCCAAGGTCCTGCTTCTATAAAAGGTTGTTAATATATATTCAAGAGATCCCAGGCAGAGTTTGTGCCCTACTATAAAGGAAGGCACCCTTCAACCCAGTCTGTACCAGTCTGACCATGGAGGAATATTCCTTCCTGACCCCAAATGCAGCATCAGCCTGACCCTGAGCACGGGGGCATGAGCCTCTAGCCAGGACCCTCTGGATTTGGTCCCAGCAGGACCACTGGCTCATCCCAGTCTCCATCCCTAGCCTGGGTTGCAGCCAACACCCAGTGCATTGGAGGGAGGCTTAAAAACACCTGGAAGGGCATGTCGCGTGGTATGCCTCTGCTTTCCAGCAGCAGGTGATGGGGGCCAGCCGCTGGAGCACCTTACTTTCCAAAGATGGGGTTGAGCTGCTTGGAGATGTAGTTTTCCTTGTCCTTGATGTCTGTCTTGCCCAGCTTGATGGCGATGTAGGGGTCAGCTTTCCCGTTGATGTCGGCAGGGTGCAGGTCTGTAGCCTGCAAGGGAGATGTAAGACCCCCCCACATCCCTTCAGTCTTCCCTGTGCATCCTGGGACTGAGCCCATGCAGAGGTGGCACGGCAGCATGCACTTGCCAGGCAGCCAGGAGCTCCAGGAGGAGCTCAGAGAGCAGTGGCGATGGCAGATCAAGGTAAAAGCAGGGAGTTTGCCCCTTCCAATGGCTATAGCATGGGTCTTGGTATCATATGGAGACCCAGCCCTGCTCCACCCCCCTGGGCAGAAGGAGGGACCGGGGCAGAAAGGAAGCCCTGCCCTGAGAAGCAGTGCTTGGGATTGCACAGCTATGTGCATGCAGGTGTGTGCAGAGCAAACCCCCAGGGCTGCCTGACCTCGCTTCCCCCAGGAACAAGGGGGGCAGGGACCAGGCAGGAGCTGCCCCAGAAAGAGCAGAGCACTCTCCCCACCAGCAATTCCTTGCATTTCAGGAGATGACAGCAAAGCCATGGGGAACTTATCCACCCTCCCCTCCAGAGTCGGGCGCATGAGATGGATCCCATCTCCCCCTGTGCCCTGGATGAGCTGGGAAGGGGGAACATCTTCTGCTGGAGACTTGGAGCTCCCCGGCCAGACCCCAGGGCCTCTGCTGCTCCCAGCCTACTCTCCCCTGCCCGGGGCTTCCCCCTTCAGCAGCTGGGGCTGGGCAGGGCGCTCCTCTCTGCTGCGGGGAACTTCCACGCAAAACTTTTTTTCATTGGAAAATGCCAATTTCAGCTGAATTTGAAAGTTTTGTGGGAATGGGCCAGTTCCAGGGCAAGAAAATGAGGGATTCTGGTCATCTCCTTCTCTAGACTGACTGTGCAGCTGGTGGGGATGAGACAAGCTTTCAGGCACCGAGTGTCCTTCCTCGGGGAAGGCGATGCTGTGCCTGGATGCCTGTCTTGCAGCTTTCCTAAGTACACCAAAGCCCCTGGCTTCTTCCTGATATCCCGAACCAGCACAGATGCAACAGCCCTCCAAGTTCACTCCAGTTTCAGCGAATGCTGTGGTTAGGAAAGAGCCCCCTGCTCCAGGTAGGGAATGACTGGTTAACACCGCCCAGCTCCTTGGGGACCCCAAAAGAGACTGAGGCTGAGGACACTCCCTTGAGAAATAGGAGGACCAGGTTCAAATCTGCCTCTAATAGGGGACTCTAGACACCAGGCTTCCCCTCTTCCCAAGTGAGTGCCCTGGAGATATGGAAGGGAGGTGGTCTCTGTTCCTGGATCTGCTCCGCTTTGCACAAATGATTAGACATGAGGACGGAGGGGCTTGTTCTGTAGCTCAGCAATGAGACTTCAACAATATGGTGTTTTTCTGGCCCATGGCCAGCCTCAGGACATCCACAGCTGAGACCGCGTCTCCTTATGGCTTAGGTATCACTACCCTGCTCCCATCCTCCGTGGCTGGGCAATAGGGAGAAAGGTGCAAAGACCAAGCTGCCCGTCGGAGGGGCTTGTTCTGTAGCTCAGCAATGAGACTTCAACCATATGGTGTTTTTCTGGCCGTACATCTGCCCCCTTGGAAGCCCCATGGCCAGCCTCAGGACATCCACAGCTGAGACCGCGTCTCCTTATGGCTTAGGTATCACTACCCTGCTCCCATCCTCCGTGGCTGGGCAATAGGGAGAAAGGTGCAAAGACCAAGCTGCCTGTTGCATGGCACTCACCCGTATGACGTACACACGGACCAGCACGTTGATGGGGTCGTTGCTGGGGATGCCCTGGAACATGCCGAAGTTGGGGTCGTAGCCTGCCTCCTTGGTGATGTCGTCTGGGAGCGGCACTTTGTAGACACACATGGAGCCCTGGGGTCAGGAAGACGTCCCCGTGAGACATGTGAGGTCTGGGGGCAGGGGGCGGGAGGCACATCCTGATCTCCACAGCCCCAGCGGAGAACCCAGAGCAAGTCCAGCCCTGCGTTCCCAGCTCTGCCTCGAGTACACAGGAGGATCCAGAGGGGTGCATTCATGCACTTCCACCCCCCTTGATTCCTGCTGCACCCCAACCAACTGCCTGGCAGTGACAGCAGCGTTTCTAGTCAGGCAGCAGTGAGGGCATCCCTGGACTTCATGTTTCCTTATCATCTCCCTAATTCCTGCTAAACTCTTAATTCCAGAGGTGTTAGCACCCTTTTCTCCTTTTAACGGTATTGATGCTCCACCAATCAAGCTAACCTTTCTTCAGCCATTTTTCTGCCTGTCGGCTGCTCCTGGTCACAAAGCTCCTATTTCACAGGTTGCTTTTTACTCATTCAATGAAGTCCTATTTGTTTTCTCATCCATCTTGAATGGACTAATACAGCTCCAGCCCCCGTAACGTGTTAGTAAAGCTTCTAGTTTCTTTTTAGGTGGGGTCAAATGGGTATTGTTTTAGATGGGATGATGCATTTCACCATCTACACCCTTTTTTCAAAATTTTGGATCCGCCCATGCTCGAGGATTGCAACTTCAAGCAGTTCAGAGGACAGCATCAAAAGGGCATCCGTGGTTTTGCAAGGACTCTGAAGACTGGTTTCCAGGGGTGAAGGGGAGTGAAGCAGCAAGGTGCTTAAACCAGCTGGCAAGCAAGCCCGACACCTTGGTTTCTAACTGTGACAGGTTTTGAAGCTTCAGAACTTTGCAGGTGTCCTTTGGGTGGGACAGACCACTGGGGTCACTACACAGCAAGCTGCTTTTTATGTCCCTGTACTGTCAGCGGCAGTAGAGACACATGGGGTCATGGGGTGATGGGCAGCTTGCATCTTCTAGGAGGAGCTTATTGCAATAATTGGGAGCATCACCGTGGGATGTGATCAGCTGGGATCCAGGACTGGCATTACACCATATTGGAAAGGCTGACTGTGCTACACCTTCATTGCTGGAGAGAGCTTCAGACAAGCAAAAAGCTCTGATGAGGGCAACAGGGTGGTGGTTCGGAGAGCACGGACACACCACACTTGGCCCTCTGTAGTGGGAGGAGTGTGACATGGGCACACTGGCAGAAGTCACTCTACTCTGGCGTGAAGCCAGGGGTAAGTTATGCTAGTTTATGGGGTCATGCATCCACAGCTCTACTCAAGCTTCACCCCAGGGCAGCCAAGGGCTTGTAACAGCACCTGCCAAGGGCAGCTACCCCAGGGGAGGTGGTCGTCTGTCCATGCTGGACCCCGGTGTAATTCACTTCGGGTTCTCAATGCATCCCTGTCTCGAGTGAGGCTTGTTCCACAGAAGGAGGAGGTACAGGAGTAGCCCATAAACTGGGAAATTTGCTGGCAGGAACAGATATGGGCTGGGATCAGATGCTTCCTTAGGTGGTGTATAGCCCCTGTAGGGACTGTTGGCATTGCAGGTCTTAAAGGGATGAGTCCTTGAGCATTGTAGCTGTGACTGATTCCCGAGGCAGGCAGAGGAGGCAGTGGTTCTTCCCCACCCTTTGGGGCAGCCCTGGCTGTACGGCCCTTGGAGGTCTCCCACCCAGGTACAGATTTAACCAGAACTGATTCCCATTGCATCTGGGCCCTCTCCCTGCCCGGCTCCCCTCCACCTGCCTTGACACCGAGGCCCAGCAGCCAGGTCCCCCTTCCCCCTCCGGGCCCACCGGACACACCTTGAACCTCCCCACAATGCGCTCGTCGTCTGCCGTGCTGTCGTCGTCATCCCCAATCTTGCCCCGGAAGAGGTTGAACGTGTGCAGCCAGTCCTCGAAGTTGTCGAACTCGGCTTCCAGCTCTTTGTTGAAGATCTGGAGGGGCAGAGCATGGCAGGTGGGGTAAGGGATCCCAAAGGGTTCAAGGGTGGTTTGGGTCCCCCTCTTATTGATGGGAGCCTGGGTGCTAAAGGATCCCAAGTGAGAAAATGCCTTCCCAAGCCTTGAGTCTTTATGATCATGGGCATCTATCTCACATCACCTCCCACATTTGCCAGTCCAGCTCCTCATACCCCAGTGTGGAGGCTGATTCAGAGCCTCCCTGCTCTGAGATCTAGAAACCTGCTCCTTGTGTCCATCCTTCATTGAGTCCTGGACAGTTTATGCTGCTTATTCTCATCTCCACACTCCCTCATTCCATCAAGCTCCCTCCCAGGCATTTACCCCTTACAGAGCCATCTTGCCCCCTCTCTTCACTTCTCATTTGGAAGTCCCCAGCCCAGAGCAAACTCAGTGAGCAAATTCATCCCCCATAGAAATGGGACAGCAGAGCACCAGCTTCAGATCTCCCTGATGCCTTCCCCAGGGATGCCTCCAGCCCAGCATTAATGCAGTCCCCATCCCTTCACTTGGACCTCCGCCGCTCTCTCACGATCGCTGGATGCAGAAGTGAGTAACTTACCAGAAACTTAACTAGGAATTTACTTGAATGTACTCTAGTCGTGAATCAAAGGGCTACCACGCCATTTCTGCCTGCTCAGAGTTATTCTTTTGCTACTTGGCTGGGTAGCAAAATAATAATCGGACTCGGACTCCTCCCCATGCCTACCCTCTCTACCATAAAGCCTGCCATTATAGCCAGCCTTGTACATGCTTGAGAGGGACGGGGCAGGCTGTCTTGCTCCCTTTACTTGGCTGACTAAGGAAGGCTACTTTCTATGCTTCAGGCTATAAGAAGCACCCAGATATATCCTGCTGGCATTAGCAACCCCTGGGTCTACAGGGTTTTTGTATCCCAGGAAGTGCAGGCCCCAGACAAAGACCTGAGTCCGGGTGGTGGCAGCAGTACCCCAGGCTTGTGGGTGTGCTAGGAAGGGGGCTGTCCATAAGTAAGTGCCCCTGGGCCGGCATCCAAAGCTTGGTTTTCAGCCGGGTGCAGTGAGGTGGGTGGCTCAGTGCAAGAGTGCTCCCACTGGCCCACCACACCTTCCAGCTGTGGGTGCCTTTAGCTACACCCCTTTACCCAGGGAGCAATAAGTTCCCACAGGGCCCAAAGGATCATAGCAGGAAGTGGAGGAGACCACAAACCCCCCTTCCAACCCTCTCCCCAGTTTCAAGGATAAGGCACCGTCCGCTCACCTTCATCTCATCAATTTTCTGCTTGTTCTTCTTCTCGGGGACCTCAGGCTGCTGCTGCTGCTGCTGCTGTTGCTGCTGCTTCTTCTTCTTGTCCTCCTTGGGTGCCTTGACCTTCTCTTTGGTCTTGGGCTGGCCCTTGGAGCCTTTCATAGGAGAGTCATCGAGTTTGATTTCTGAAGCCGAGGGGACAGGTGGGAGATGGGAGTAGGGATGGGGGGAGGATGGACACAGGACACTCAGCCATGGTGTGCATGAAAGTTGGCAGCCAACACCTACTGCTACAGCCAGGGATTTCCCTCCTGCTCTCAGCAGTGGCCCCGTGGGGGAATGTAACATCTTATTTGCTGCTAGATCCATGTTTCAAAGACCATTTGGGTGTCTCATGAAGATCCAGCATCTCCTTTTATATCGGGGCCAATAAGGCTTCACCCCTGCATCCCCTGAGCTGAGAGCTGCATGCTGGGGTCAGTGAGAGGCAACTGCCAAAGCCAAAAGGGAGTTATTCACACCTCCCTGCCATTTGTCTACCCTGGAAACTCTCCATCCCCAGTGCTCGAGAGGCCCTGAGGCACAGGGAACCCCGAGCTGAGCAGGGGTGAATCCAGGATCTGCAGGATGAAAGCACAGCCCTTTGCAAGATGAGCTAACAGAGGTGGCTGCAGTAGTAGGCTGTTACCCTGCCTGCCAAGGATGCAGCAGAGAGGGGCCTGGCACTCCGTGCCAATGGAGTAAAGACCGCATGGCTAGGAAGGGAGCTTGGGGTAACGTTTCCCAGGTGCTGGGAGCATCCTACCATTCCCCATTTCAAAGCCATTGCCCGTCCTCTCCCCTTGGTCTCTCCCTCCTGCCAACTCCCATGGCCTCTTTGCCATGCAGATAAGAACAGAGAGAGGATGACAGACAAAGGCATGGATGCAAAGGTGTGGAGGGGAGAAGACAGAGGACGAACGTGCTCAAGCAGTACTCACAGACAACCGGCAAAGAGCGAGATGAGACACGACACGTGCAACAAGCCACCAACACCGCGTACGGATGCTGTGATGGGGAAGAGGGGACCAAGAACCAGGAGTGGCCAGAGCAAGCCCAGGCCCAACCGCTGGTGCTCTGCCAGGAGCAACCTGGGACCGCGACCAGACTCCACATCACATGCAGCTGCCGGTACCCAGCATGCATGAGCAGACCCATTGCCAGGGCATCGAGCTTCCTCCTGGACCTGGGAGGCTGTTAGAGGCCAAGGACACCAGGAACAGAGACTCTGGATCTCACTAGGGGCCAGTACCCTAATGGCTGCAATTCAGGGAAGCTGCACCCAAGCTGAGAGCCTGGTGCCAATGGGCGAAAGGCAATGGGTTGTCCACATGGAGAGGGAAGCCCTGTGCCCAGAGAGGAGGGAGAACAAGGGCAGCAGCAAAGCTGCATCACCCCTGCCAGCACCCTTCCAGGTGAAGAGGGGAGCTGAGCTGCCATGGAGCTTATATTTCTTCACCCATGCCACCATCCTAACCCAGCCTATGCTGGCAGGGGGAAGGGGAGAGCTGAGCTGAGCTGCCATGGACCACAGGAGCCAACTCCTTGCTGAGCCTGCTAGGATGCTGGCTGGGGCCCTGACTCACGTGAGCAGAGACACTGAGCTCACGAGAGCTGGGAGAAACCCTGGACTAAAACTGCCCAGACACCCAGAAGGTTCACCTGTCCTCAGGAAAGTCAAGCCCATGACTCAGTGGCAAAAACCACCCACCCCACTGGAATCAGTCGCTCCCCTTTGCCAGTGTGTGGCCTAGCGGGACCCCAGCGTGTCTCCTCTGGCATCTCTTGTTGCTCAGTATGAACGACTCCCTCCTTCCACAAATCTCTTAGGGGACAATTAAAGCCAGGACACTCACAGAAGTAAATAGCACAGACAACGGGTGGAGGAAATGAAGCCCAAAACACAGAGATCCTAGCCACACTGAAGCTCCCACCCCGGCCAGGCTTCACCGTGCTGGACCCAGGAGCACTCAGCTTCCCTGGGGACCCAGATCAAGCCAGCTGCTTCTTCCAGACACTGGGCAGAAGCAGGGAGGGGAGGGCTGGGCTGCAGCTGTGCTGTAGCTAATATACTGTGATGCTGATATAAGCACAAGGTAGGATCCAGGGCTTGGCTAGAAGTCTTGAAAAACCATGTCATTTCTCTGTGCCTCAGTATCTCCACTGGTGACAGTGAGGCCTGCTCAACTGGCCACAGAGGGGCTCAGATTAAGACCCCCTGATGAGTAAGGCACTCTGGGAGGTACCCTGGGTTATAGAAGGGCACAGGGACACCTCCCAGCAGCCAAGCAGGGGAGATCCTTGCTTTATGCCAGGAATTGAGTCCTCCCCACCACTGGCAATGCACTGGCAGGGTTCCTAGAGGCAGAGACATCATCCATGGTGCAGGGCAAAGGGGCTACCCCCCTGTGCCCTGGACCCACAAGGCTTCAGAGGAACAAGCCACCCAGCCTTGGAGACAGATGTCCCGGGAACAGGGAAGGGAAAGGCCTAGGAGGCCTTCCTGGAATTGGGCTGGCAAAGGGTCGCTGCTAAAGAGACCTTCCCCCTTCTACAGAGGCTGGGGCCCTGGGTGCTTTGGAGACACCGGTTTACCAAGCTTCAGGACAGCCAAGGGACACAGAGAATATGCCAGGTCCCTAAGACCCCTCAGAAAGTCAGCAACACATGCTGACTTCTGCTCACTAGGCTACACTGCCTACCTGCCAGCCCACACCCCAGCCAGGCAGGGTGGAGCCTGCCAAAGGACAAGGACTGGGATTAGGGGGCAGCTGAAGTTAGCAATGTGACATATCGTTGCATCCGAATGCAGGCTGGGATTCCCCAGCCTGGGCTGGACACACGGCTTGTTCACACCAGCAGCATCTGCATCTGTTTGTACCCGATCTGGAGCACACAGGGTGTATTCACACATACTAAATTGACTTCAAATAAGGCGACTTAACTAAGTTGATTTAACTAAGTACACTTAAAATAAGGTGGCTTAACTAAATTGATTTAACTAAGCTGACTTAAGTTAAGCCACATCGGAGCGTACACACATACAGCTCTTTAACATAGTGACAGCCATCTAGTGAGCTACGTTGATTTACCTAACGCGACTCAAGATAATTCACCTTGGAGAGGTATTATCTTATGCCAAATTTAAGTCGACTCTGCTCCACATACATATATATGCTCTAACAATTACGTTGACTTAAAAAAGTTAAGCTGGCTTAACTGTCAGAAATTTAGTATGTGTGTACACACCCACAGATGACCATTTACCCCGGGATAACTGTGGTACCAGGCAGCAGGAGGCCAGAAGCACATAATAGTGTGCCTTAAGTCACTCCCCTGGGTTATGTACAGACACCCCCCCAAGCATTTGCACTGCTATTTTTCTGGGTGTCGCTTCCCACTGGATTCTAGCAGGTGACACCCCTGCATGGTTACATATCGTGCACCCAGTCTTACCTTTGCAAATGGTGTAAAGGGGGATTACACTGGTGCAAACATTACGTGTGTCCAGGCCTACTGAAATGCATGGGTAAATCCTAAACTGCAGCCTGGAAGTGGAGGGAAAAGCACGTGGCCAGCAGCAGGCCAGATACCCTGACTTTGGGTTGAACCATGTGCATGATGAGAGTGATCCTGCTTCTCAGATTTACCCTCTGCTATGTCCATTTCTTCCTTCTCCTCGGCCTCTGCTGCGGCTGCCTCCTGCTGCCGAAGTTGCTGGGAAGAGACGAAAGGGCTGGTGAGTGGGGCCGGCACGGTGAGGCCCAGACCCTAGGTTTCCTACCGAACAGAAATGCAGCTCAGCCTGTGATGGCTTACAGGAGTCTGCCTGTGCAAAAGGGCCGCGGATCCCAGTGGCCGTGCAGACATCATGTCGGGGGACCAGGAGGATGTGATTGGACTAAAATGGGTGCGCTGGAAATTAGGCCTTGCTGGGAGGTTGGGATATGTCTCTCATCATCCCCACTGGGGTCCATAATCTGACCCCACTGCTGCAAGAATGGCTGGACCGACAGGGCTGAATTCGCCCATCATTCCCCCTGATCTCCTGGGACCCCAGCATCCCCCGGTACCGATGGGGTCTCCCGCATGCCAACCCTCCACCTGATCTGATGAGCCAGAGCGAAAGACCCACCTCTCAGCTTGGACTGAGTCCTGAAGAGCAACCAGCATGCATGACCCAGCCTCCCTCCGTCACCCTGCTGTCTCCTCATCTACCCCCACCTTATTTCCTTCTCGTTTCTCAACACTGCTTCCATTTCAAGCTAAGCCCACCACGACTGACTATTTCCCAGCCCTGCAGTGGTGATTCTTTCCACGCCCTGCCATAAGCCTGGGAACTGGGAAAGCAGCTAAAAGCAATGTCTTAAGAAGCCCGATGCCAGGACAGGCTTGCTGTGTCTCAGAGAGGTTCATCTGCCTCTGTTTCTGCAGCAGCAACGTGGCCAGGGAGACCACATTAGATCCAGAAACTACTTCTCTTATTCTGCTCCTTTTTTTTTTTAGCCTTTTATATTGGTTGTATTTTGCTTTCAGGGAAGCAGACTCTAACAGCAAAAGACTGTTATTAGGTCCTTTTTAGTCTTCAGTAGCAAAAAGGACCATTACTGAGAGGGACTGGACATGTTTTTGGAGGAAAGGGGCATCAGTCACTATTAAGCACAGAAGTGCGAGGCACGACCTCTGCATCAGACCTGCCTGAACCATCAATGCTGGAGGCTGCAAGGGAGAGAGGGACAGGGGGAAAAGCCTGCTCAGACCCTGTTCGCTCTCCCCTCCAGCTCTCTGCCACCGTATGACACGGGAGACTGGGCAAGACGGATCTAGGGTCTGACATGGCACACACGGGCTTATGACCACGCTGGGCCTTTCACCACCACCTACCTGGGGAGGGTTTCTTATAGCTACCCCCAGATGTGACTCCCCTGGGATTTTGAAGTCAACTCCCATATGTTTCATGGAATAAAACCATTTCCTAATTGTGGGCGGTCAGGACCTGCTTTACCTCTCATGAACCAAAGCATCCACCACAATCTATGAATCTATGAATCTATGAAGCCTCGGCTGGGATGATGTAGTTGGGGCTGGTCCTGCTTGGAGCAGGGGTTGGACTAGATGTGACCTCCTGAGGCCACTTCCAAACCAAATTTTCAATGACCACACTGTGAGAGCAGGCTCGGTGTCACGTGCCCAGCTCCAACGCTGCTGGAGGAATCATCATAGAGAAGTAGGGACTGGAGGAGACCCGTGTGGGAAGGTTGGAGGTGTCTCTTACCCCCACAGCAGGATGCTCCAGGCATGGTGTTGTGGAGGGGAAGATTCATGGGACAATCCCGCAGTTCTGCATTTACCAGCGATGCAAGCTACAGCACCGTGGTGCCAAGCTCCCGGAGCATGGCAGTGAATCTGCCCCTCGAACGCTAGACTTCGAGGTCCCCTATAGCGTGGCCTCTGTCCCTGCCCATCCCCAGCACTGTCCCTACCTCCTTCATGGTCTCGATGGAAGCAAAGTACTTGGACCACCAGTCCAGCATGCTCTCATCGGGCTCCTCCTCCTCCATCTCCTCCGCTCCACCTTTCTTCTTCTTCTTCTTCTTTTCCTTCTCTTTCTCATCTTCAGGCTGCAGGAGCAGGATGGGGAAAAAGAGAGAAAGAAAGATATGGGATCAAGGTGAAGGAGCCTTTCAGTCCAGGTCACTCAGATGCTAGAGGGACGGGGCTATTTAGAAGTCCTTGGGAGTTGTCTGTGTTATGAGAGACCTTCCTGTAAGGATGGGGGAACAAAGTGACATGCCCAAGGCCACGCAGAAAGTCAGTAGCAGAGTCAGCAGCAGCAACTGGGTCTCCTGAGTTTCCCAGCCTGGCACATCCTCACCGGAGCCTCCTGCCACCCACTGCCCCAATTTATGGATGACAATGGAGCTGGTGGGGGTTCCCCCAAGGTGGGGGGGCAGCTTGACCAGAACAGCCCCTTTGGGGGCACCCATCCTGGGGACGGCTTAGCTCAGGGGTCTCAGTGCCAGCTACAGCATGATCCAGCTTCCAGCAAGGATCAGCATAGCAGGGTCTGATCCCAGTGTCTGGGAAGATGCCCCAGGTTTCCACAGGCTCATGCCCCCGGTATCCCTGGCCACCCCTCCAGCACCCCCAGACGGCTCAGCAGCCAGGGAAGCAAAGCAGCCACGAGTCTATCAGACCCGGGGCAGAGGGAGGAGGGCAAAGCGGGGCCCGGGCATCACTTACCACATCCACTTTGACCACCGCGTCCGAGTTCTGCCGGATGCAGAGAGGGGACAGGGAAGGAGAGAGCCATGTTACATATGCACACGCAGCCCCACGCCCTGCACACACACACATGTACACAGAGAGAGCACGGGAGATGCAAACACCCTCACAAAGGCCATGGATGCAGGGCCCCACATCAGCTCCACATGCAGGGATGTCTAGAGAGGAAGGCTGGTTGAGAGGCCTGCTGCTGGGACATGCTTCTTGGACTGGTGGCATGGGATATGTCCTGGGGCCAGCTGGGAAGGGGATGGACTGGGATCCAGGGGACGTGTCCGGGAATGTGTGCTGGCTGGGGTGGCTCAGCCTCAGATGCCCAGGCCAGGGGCTTGTGCACACATGTGTGTATGTGTGCAAGAGCCCTGCAGTCATGCTGCGGCTCTGTGTGATTTCTACACTCAGGTACATGTGCCATAGGAACCTGGCACGGTATGGGTGTTCATGCACTAGGATCCTGTGTATGTGTGAGAATGCATGTGTGTATACACATACATGTGTGTGGGCACATGTGTGTGTGTGTGTATGTGTGCTCATGTATGCATGTGCATCTGCCTGTGTGTATGTGTGCATGTGTGTGTGCACCTGTGTGTATGTGTGTGCATTTATGTGCATCTGTGTATGCATGCGTGCATGTGTGGGTCTGCACACACATGCACACACACTTGGGATCCCATGTCCGCGTGCACCAAGACCCCCGCACAGGTGAGGGACTCTATGTCCACCTGTACACTAGGAGCCTGCCATGCACATGCACATCCACGTGCTAGGAGTCACATGCGTACACACGAGCGTGTGCATGCACGCAGCGGGGCTATCCGTCTCTGCCCCTTTGCTACGGGAACCCCCAAATACTGTCCCGTGGCTGCGCTCACACGCTGCTGTACTGTTTCGCAGGGGACTCGGATGCAGGGTGCAGGGAGGGAGGAGGTGCCAACTGCACGTTGCATGACAGCCTGGTGCTTCAGGGACCCCAAGCTGAGCTTAGGACCGTGTCCCTGCCGGGTTGCTCGTGGGGAGCTGCTCGGATACATCAGGCATGTGCTGGACTTTGCTTTCTATTCTGCTGTGCTCCCAGCCAACTTGATAACTCTGCTCCCTGGATATCTCTTCTCTGGCCAGGCCAGATCTGCACTGATCCCTGCAGCTTCCCCCACTTTGGCCCTTTCACCCCAGGCACTGGATGCATTGCACACACCGCGAGACAGGTGGGCTGGCAGCTCCCTTGAGAGCCAAGCAGTTCCTGGGATACTCACGGCCTCCAGCTTCACCATTGTCTCCATCTTCTTGATGGGAACTTCTGGCTCCATGTTGACGACGATCTCGCCTGCGGGGTGAGAGTAGGGGCCTCCATTTGACAGGGCCATGTAGAGGTTGAGCAGCTTGGCTGGACAGAGAGAGAGAGACAGACAGGGGAAGAGAGAGAGAAGAGACAGTGTAGACACGAGACTGAGATCAGGAGATGAATGCAGCCCGGACGGGGATGACGGAGAGGACAACGGAGGAGGGAATGAGAGTCATGCAGGAAGAGAGCCCTGCCCCGGCAGGGAGAGTAGAGGGGATGGGAAAGTCCAGCTCAGCTGAAGCACCCTTTGTGGGGAAAGTACCTGGATCTGGGTTACCCAAGTTCATGGAGAAATGCCTGGGGTGGGAAGGGTCTGATCCTGCTTGGTGGTACTAGGTGCTGCATGGCCATCATGAACATGAGGGCTGAAGGGACCTCAGGAGGTCACATCTAGTCCAACGCCCTGCTCCAAGCAGGACCGGCCCCAACTACATCATCCCAGCCAGGTCTTTGTCTACCCGGGTCTTCAAAACCTCCAAGGATGGAGACTGCACCACGTCTGTGGGGAGCCTGTTCCAGTGCTTCACCACCCTCCTAGTGCGCAAAGTTTTTCCTAATATCCAACCTCAACTTCCCTTTTTTCCACTTGAGCCCATTGTTCCTTGTTCATCATCTCCCCCACCCTTGTTCATCACCCCCCCCACTGAGACCAGCCCAGCTCCATCCTCTTTGCAGCCCCCCTGCCGGGAGGTGAAGGCTGCTATTCAGTCCCCCTGCAGACTAACTCAACCCAATTCCCTCAGCCTCTCCTCACCAGTCATGTCTCCCAGCTCCTGAACAATTTCCATTGCCCTCCACTAGACTCTCTCCAATGTGTCCACACCCTTTCTGCAGTGGGGGGCCCACAGCTGGACACAGGACTCCAGATGTGGCCTCCCCAGTGCTGAATAGAGGGAAGGATCACGTCCCTCCGTCTGCGGGCAGTGCTTCTCCCAATGCAGCCCAGGATGCCGTTCGCCTTCTGGCACCACGGGCACACTGCTGGCTCCTGTCCAGCTTTTTGTCCCCTGTCCCCCCAGGTCCTTTTCTGCAGAGCTGCTGCCCAGCCCGTCACCCCCAGCCTGCACCGGTGCATGGGATCGCTCCCTCCTAAGTGCAGGACTTTGCACTTGTCCTTGTTGAACCTCATAGGATTTCTTTTGAGGTTCAATCCTCCAATTCATCTAGGTCACTCTTAATCCTAGCCAAACCCTCTGGCGTATCTACTACTCCCACCCCGCTTGGCGTCATCCACACACTTGCTAAGGGTGCATCCATCCCATCTTCCAGGCCAGCCCTGGAGAAGGATGCCCACACTGATGTGAGGCACGCAGCCCGCTCATACCTGTCCCCTCCCCACCCACTCCTAGGAACAGGGCAGTGCAGAGAGGGGCCAAGCCTGGGCCTGGCTGGGGTCTGGGTGGGCTCACTGGCACATGCTCAGGGCCTCTCAACAGCCCCTTGTTGCCTTATTCCCTGGATGGATGTGAATGGGAGTGAGGGGGCAGGATCTGCTTCCTAGCAGCACAGCAGAAAACCGACATGCATGGGTCACAGCCCTGCCCAGGCCTGGCAGCAACAAAGGGGATCCCAATATCCCCATCCTCTCCCCCTGGGAGCCTGCATGGCTGTGTCCGAGACGGAGCCTGGCAGGGCCTCACGTCACTCGCCCCGACAGCCTAGAGTCCTGCTGACCCCCTGCCCTGACCACTGGCTCACACTCCCCCGGCAGCCAACCCTGGCGGTGGGTCTCATGTGGGCTTGGGGAGATGCTTTCATTCCCAGGAAATGCCACTTCCTCTCTCTCACCCCACAAGAGCCCCACACGCATCCGACTCGCTCCCTCCAGCGGGCCTGGAGCCTGCTGCGGCCCGGGCTGGGTACCTGTGGTGCTCCACTGCTGGGCTTTCTTGTCCGGGGGCCGGTAGATGAACTTGCGCAGGGAGCTGACGGCGTGCGAGCCCACGAGGGTGTAGCGCCCGAAGGCCCGGCAGTCCACCACCCGGATGTTCAGGGGTGGGTGCAGCAGTTCGTTCTCCGGGAGGTCCTGGAGAGGAAGGAAAACCCCTTGAACAGCTGGATTTGGGTTCACCTGTCTGGGTGAAACCGGGCTTGGGATCAGGGGAGGATTTCCCCGCTCTGGCCGCATTAGCAGGGACCATTGCGGATTATTTGCCTTCCTCTTGCATGGGATATAGCCCATTCTCTGGGACCATTTGAGCTCCCTGCCTAGGCTCGGGGGTGCCCTCACCTCCTCTACCCTAGTAGGATGCATCATGGTGCATGCACCAGATGTCCTAGTGGACCCTTCTGCTCCCTCACCTAGGATGCTGATTTGGGGGCTGGTAGTCCTGAAGGCCCAGATTGACCTTTCCCCCTCCAGCAAAGCAGGACACATTTGATGGAGGGAAGGAGCTAGCAGAGGCAATGCAACCCTAGGAGAAATGCTGGAGCCCTTGGGATGGGGTGGGGGCTGCATGCTGGGAAGCACAGAGCTCCCCCCTCCTATGCTAATGCAGCAGGGTTTTGGAGGGGGGCTGCCCACATGGCATGGGGTCCTCAAATCAAAATGCCAACAGAGCCTGAAGAGCAGGAGAGCAATGCTCCAGACCCTGCGAGCCCCCCAGGCGCTCTAGCCCTGCACCGGCCTTTGCGGATGCATCACTGATGAAGACCCCTATTCACGGCCCGCCCCGGCCAAGCAAGAAGGAGGGCTGTGCCCATCACAGTGACCTCCTGGCTTGCCGGGGCTCGGGCGGGAGCAGACAGGACCCACCACTTCGAACCACTTGACCAAGGTGCTGAAGTTGGGGTTCTTCTTGTAGTTCTGGATCAGGGAGGACTGGACGCCCCGGCCGGCGCACTCGATGTCCACGCGGGGCCGGTCGACCTGTGCCAGGTTCACGCGCTTCAGGTCCCGCAGCCCCCAGAAGAGGATCTGGGTGGGAGGAGAGAAGAGCATAACGTAAGAGCTGCCCTGTACGGGGCCAGACACTTCTCTGGTTCTTCCTTCTCCGTTTGGGGGAGCGGGGACCAGAGCTGGGTGCAGGGTTCAAGGTGTGGACGCGCTGCGGATTTATCAAGGGGCCTCATAACTCTTTTTGCTCTGTTCCCAATTCCCTTCTCAATAATCCCAATCATTTTGTTTGCTTTTTTGATGGGGGTTAGTGCTGGGAGAGTAGGGCAGACGGTGCAGAGCTGCCAGGACCTTCAGCTCTGCTGCTGTAAGCCTCGGTCTCTGAGGGCATCGATGTGCAATACTGGCTCGGCGCGGGGTGCAGGGCTCTGAGCGGCCGCAGCCTTTGGCCTGTCATTAACTGCATCGAGTTCAGTCCAGTGAAAGCAAAGGAGAGAAAAGCTGGCTGGAGCTGACCTCGGACCAGAGAGGAGCTGAGCAAACTCCCCTCCCTGCACACCAGAAGTGATGAGCTGCAATGCCCGGATCCTTCCCCCCTCACAGCTCAGTGCATCGGTCCTGACCTGCATCTCCAGGTAAGAGAGGCCAGTCCTTCTCCAGCCCGGCCCCTCCAGCCCCACAAAGCAGATGCATCATCTCAGCATCTCAGGCAATGCTGCAAGCTATGCTGCATGGCAGGGCAGCCGAATGGTGATGGGATGAGCCATGTAGAAGTTGCAGCTTGCAAAAGTCTGACCCCCCAAGGGCTATTACCTCCACTCTGTACTTGCTCAGCACAGGCCGGATCCCCATGGGCACAGGCAGGATGGGGCCCCGGTCCATGTCTGTGGGACCGTCGATGGGGGGCAAGTCCGACTTGCCCCCGGCGCCAATCTGGAAGGAACACAAGGCTGGTTACACCCCCTGCAGCCGGTTTCTCCCCAAGCTACACGTGTCCATGTCCACACATCTGCTTATCACGATGCATCGCGGATGTGGCTGGTACAACTGGAAGAGATGGTTTCAGAGGATGATGTAGTCTGTAACCCCCCCAGGACACTTCCCCTGGGTCATTCAGGCCTCGCCTCTCAGCTGCAAGGCTGTATAATGGGCTGGTGCCACCACCGATGGTGCTTGCTGTACACAGCCTAAGAGCCAGGCTATTTGCCGGTGGAACGTGGCTGCTGGGACAGCAGGGACGTGGACTCCAGCCCCTGGACAACTCTCAGGGAGGAAGGTGCTTGGAAAACACCAGGCTGGGTTGGATTAAAATAAGAGATGAGAGAAGCCATGACTCTAACAAAGGGCGCACCTGAACATCAGGGCCCCCACCCGAAAGGGCATCTCAGTGCCTGGCCCCAGGTGGCTTGGAAACAGGCAGGAAATCTCAGCTGGGAGCACATCCCAGCTCCAGTGGCGTGTGCATTAGCACGAGCATCACACCGTCCCCTGGCTACCGCAGCCAAGGTTCCCCCAGCTCTTCGCTGTGCTGATCCCTGTCTCTCTCGATGCCCCTACACACTTCTCAAGTGCTGTGATTGCAACCCGCATGCAGCCCGGATGGATGTCCCCAGGCTGGGTCGGGGCTCAGATGTTACCTGGAGCAGCTCGAAGGCAGCCAGCAGGTCGCCGGCGGTGGAGTTGCCCCGGTAGATCTGGTAGTACTCCAGCTGGGGCGGGAAGCGCGGCCCGCTGTAGTCCTCATCCGACATCTTCACCACCGGCTTGGCAAAGGTGCGGCCCATGAAATCTGCCTTCCCCTGGCACCACAGAGAGAGGAAGCATGGGCTTTTTTCCCTTGGCATGCACGGCCCCTCCCAGGCATGGTGGGAGGATGAGAGCTGGGATAACTGGAGACCGTTACTTGGGATTGAGGGTTTTTATGGGCATGGGATGCAGATGAGCTGCTGCTGCGGTGAGGGGTCTGCACCCCATTTCCAGCTACGCCTGAAAACAGCGAGACCAAAGTGTTGCAGCATCGGAGCAAAAGCCCCACGCATCCGGTCTTGGGGTGCTAAACCAAGCAGATGCAGACAACTGCAAAGCACCGGCAGTCGTTACATGTCAGACTGAATTGCAACCCCAAGGACTGGATGCTTTGCCCTTAGCTAAGGCAATGGGAATCCCACAAACACAGCAGCTGGCAGCGAAGCATGGCAAGAGGGAGAAGCAGGCGGGCTGCCCTGACACAAGCACGCTGCAGGGGAAGGGGTGAAACAGGAAGTCCAGGGTGGTCCCAGCAGGTGTCAGAGCCCCTGGAGGGATGGAGGGATCCAGACTGACCCTCTTGACATGACTTCCAGCAGATGCTGTGATACCCCACCCCACTTATTGCAAATCTGTGGATGACGGACAGCAGAGCTGCCCTCCTGGCTCACACCCCAGGCCCCTCCAGCCCAGGGTCCCATCTCTCACCGGGGCACAGAGCAGATGCTGAGGGCAAGAGCGTGTCTGCAAGGCTGATCCACCCCCAGCTCCTCTCCCCTTGCAGCGCCCAGCACTCAGAGGCTGGGGAGGTTCGGGTGGGGATGGCAGCCCTAACCATCATATTTAATATCCACTGGTGGATCCATCCTGCAGGAGGAATGAGCTGGGTCCCCTCTGGAAACTGTTTATGGTCCCTGCCTCCCCACATCCTGTCGCACGGAGAGCCACACATGAATCATAGAAAATGAGGGTTGAAGGGACCTCAGGAGGTCACATCTAGTCCAACCCCCTGCTCCAAGCAGGACCAGCCCCAACTACATCATCCCAGACAAGGCTTTGTCTACCTGGGTCTTCAACAAGGATGGAGAGTCCACCACCTCTCTGGGGAGCCTGTCCCAGTGCTTCACCGCCCTCCTAGTTAGAAAGTTTTTCCTAATATGCAACCTCAACTTCCCTTGCTGCAGCTTGCGCCCGTTGCTCCTTGTCCTGTCATCTGCCCTCACCGAAAACAGCCCAACTCCATCCTCTTTGCAGCCCCCCTGCAGGGAGGTGCAGGCTGCTATTCAATCCCCACTCAATCTTCTCTTCTGCAGACTAAATCAGCCCAGTTTCCTCAGTCTTTTCTCTTTGTGCAATGCAGACCAGCCTTGGGATGGTTTTCAACTTTCCTCCCAAGTCACTTCCTTGGATGTGACTTGCGTGTCCCCTCATTCAAGTGCCACGAGTGGTGGTAAGTAATAAAAACCCATTGCTTCGCTGCTTGGAGCTAGATCTAATAAGCAAATCCTGCTTTCTAACAGAGGCCTCAGTTCACTTGGTTCCTTGAATGCTCTCTCCCCACAGCTGCCTGGTCTTCTGGGGGGCAGAGGAGGGGAATAGCTTAGAAACCTGGTCCCCGCTCTCAGGGATCTAGGAGCTCGCTCTTACTCATGTAAACAGGAACATGCCACACATGTGCAGTTAAAAGCATACAGCCAGCACCACCACACCTCCCTCTTCCTTTGCTGAAGCAGGACATGCATTACACAGGCCACATCTGGAGTCTTGTGTCCAGTTGTGGGCCCCCACTACAGAAAGGAGGTGGACACATTGGAGAGAGTCCAGTGGGGGGCAATGGAAATTGTTCAGGAGCTGGGGGACATGACTGGTGAGGAGAGGCTGAGGGAAATGGGCTGATTTAGTCTGCGGAAGAGAAGCCCGAGGGGGATTGAATAGCAGCCTTCACCTCCCTGCAGGGGGGCTGCAAAGAGGATGGAGCTGGGCTGGTCTCGGTGGGGGCAGATGATGAACAAGGAGCAATGGGCTCAAGCTGCAGCAAGGGAAGTTGAGGTTGCATATTAGGAAAAACCTTGTCATGAATAGTAAAGCACTGGACCAGGCTCCCCAAGGAGGTGGTGAACTCTCCATCCTTGGAGTTTTGAAGCCTCAGGTAGACAAAGCCTTGTCTGGGATGATGTAGTTGGGGCTGGCTCTGCTTGGAGCAGGGGTTGGACTAGATGTGACCTCCTGAGGTCCCTGCAACCCTCATTTTCTATGCTTTTATGGTTCTGTTTCTATAACCCAAAAGCCTGGCACTTGTCCATGGATGGGGATAGCCCCACCCTCAATGCCTGACTTCCCAGCAGGTCCAGGCCTGGCCTTACCACCGTGTCCTGGTCATAGATCTCAATGACGATGATGGGGGGATCGTCCCGCATCTCATGGACTTCTCCGAACAGCTCCACGTTGTCGAAGACCAGCAGCTGGTCCCAAGTGGGGCACAGGGTCTCATTCAGCACCTGGGAGCAAGGGGACATGAAAGAGCATCTCAGCGGAGGTGAGACAACAGCCACGGTCCCACCAGGCTGCTGGTCCCACCACCCATCCAGCACCAAGATGTTTGCAGTACAAGGGCAATGCTTCAGCAGCGCAGCAAGGAGTGCAGATGGTGTCACGGGGCCGGGGGCTTGGGAGTGGTCTCCTTAAGGCTTTGCAAGAGGCTGTGTCTTCATTTGCAAAGGCTGAGAGGAGCATGTTTGGAAGGGCAATGGAAAAGTGAGGTCCAGTGAATGGTATCGGGGGAGTCTGTTGCTCCTGGAGCAACCCAGGCTCTGACACTGACTCTCTGTGACCTTGGGCATGTTGCTTTCTCAGTGCAAGCTACCCTCTGATGAATGGTGGGGATAGCAATTACCCCACGGGCAAGGTCCGGCTGCTGGTTTATAACCCCCAGTGTGGTCCAAACCCCGCAGGTCCCGACCCACAGGGCAGACTCCCATGGCTTGAGAGGAAGGAGCCCCTCCACTTGCTGGCAGCACGAGGAGGTTGCTACCTCCTCGGGGGTTTTGGGGGATGCAGGAAATGCTCTTACCTCTGTGCACTGGCTCTGGGTGATGAAGAAGACCCGAGCAAAGGGGTCTGAGAGACCGCTGCTGTCTGCGGCGAAGAGGCTCCTGGCCTGGTACATGTGGACACGGAGCTGGAAGACTTGTTTCTCTGGGGGGGAGGATGGTGGTGGTGAGACTGGGGGTTTAGTGCGAAACCCAGGCACTGAGCTCAGATCAGGAGGGGAAGAGGGCATGCATGGTACCGGCCCAGCCCCGGGTGCACAGACCCATCGGGATTTCATAGGTTTCATAGATTTTGGATGGAGAGCGCTTGCCGTGCCTTGGCACTGAGGAGGAACGTGGCCTCACAGAGCCGGCCGTGCCCTATATTCACCAGTAAGCCCCAGAGGGAAGGGCTTGGGCTGGGGGCTCTTACTTGTGTAGAGGAGGCTGATGGGGGGGAAGGACGGGATGCCTTGGCCTTTGATGGTCTTCTTCTCCTCGAAGCCGCAAGGCAGGCCGCTGAGGAAGTCCTTGCGCTGCTTGTTGAGGCCCAGCCACAGGTAGATGTCCATCTTGGCTTGCACCGTCCAGCCGGCCGGCCCAAAGCCCCTCTTGCCGGGCAGCTGAGCACAGGGAGCAAAGGGGGTGACGCAGGGAAGCCACGTCCCCAGCCCCAGCCGCCCACCTCCTGCTGCTTCAGACTGGGGCCGTCTGTCCTTCCGGTCACGTCCCCCTCGCCTACCATACCGGGCTGGACCGCTGGCCCATATAGCCTGGTAGAAGACCACCTGCGTTGCAGACCAGACCACAGGTCCATACAGCCTGGTGGAGGTCTTCTGGCTAGTCCTGATCAGACTACCAGTCCATATAGCCTGGTAGCAGACCTACTATTGCCGAGCAGACTGGTCCACGTAGCCTGGTAGAAGACCTCCTCCTATTACAGACCACCGGTCCATATAGCTTGGTAGAGGACCTCCTGCTATTACAGACCACCGGTCCATATAGCTTGGTAGAGGACCTCCTACTATTACAGACTACCGGTTCATACAGCTTGGTAGAGGATCTCCTTCTATTACAGACCACCAGTCCATATACCTTTGTAGAGGACCTCCTGCTATTACAGAGCAGACCGCTGGTCCACATGGTCTGGTAGAGGACTTCCTACTATTACCAACCAGACCACCAGTCCATATAACCTCGAATAGGACCTCCTGCTGCTCCAGACTGGACTGCCGGTCCATACAGCCTGGTACCCAGCACTGGTCAGTAGCTTGTGTCTGCCTCCCCCTGCCCCTGTCCTCATTCTCCTCTCCACCCCATCCCTCCGGCCGGCGGAGGAGAGAGGCAGCCGGTCACCTTCAGGAAGACGGTCTTGACTTTGGCGCAGTCCTTCCCGGTCTCCTCATCCACGATGGAGTAGAGGATGTCCTTGGAGGTGATGCGGGCATAGGCGATGCGCTTGTTGTTGTTCATCATCCAGATGAAGATGTCGGGGATGCTGTGCTGAGGCTGTGAACACAGCGGGCCTGGTCACCACCCCGGGGAGAGCAAGACACCCGCGTGCAAGGCTTGCATGCTGCGGTCTGAGGTCTGGGGCACCGGCTCAGCCGGGAACGGTGGGAGGGGGAAATAAATAGGCTGCCCAGGGGATGAGCTTGTCTGCTGCCTCTGAGGCTTTAGAGAGGGTTTCGAACCTCCCTATGTGGAGGGTTAGCAGATTAGCCGACGGCAAAGCCTGGCATTGCCCCTCCAATGCTCTTGGCATTGGTTTCCATTGCAAACAGGTCTGGAAGTGTCCACACATTTCCACCACTGGAGCCTGGCTCATGCACAAGGCTCCAAAAACGGACACTCCCGGGGGCACTGGGAAGCTGAAATGCCCCCACTCCTGTTGCCCCGACCCAAAGCATTTCAGGATCCAGAAACAGCTTGGCAAATAGGCAGACAAGGCACTTTGGGTGGATGTGATATCTTTTATTAGAGCAACTAATTCATTGGACAACTTGCTCTTTGCACGTATTTGGGCACAAGCTTGCAAAGAACAATTTTTGCAATGATTTAGTCGGTCTAATAAAAGATATCATATCTACCCAAAGAAGTTTGTCTGCCTGTGTCCTTAGACGAACCGGGCTACAACCAACAACCCTTGACAGATAGCATTTTCCCCATGAAACAGGTCGATTCTGCAGACCTGGGCTTTGCAGCGGGATGGGAAACTTCAGACCCATTGTGGGAGACCGGGATGTTGAGGCCCAGCAGGCGGGTCGAGTACGGCCGGCCAGGCACGTTCGAGGCGGGGAGACAGAGTCTGATCCCAGGGGCTTGCAAAAAACACGTGCTCCAGTCCAGCTGGACTTGCATGAAGTTTATGCATTCACTGGTGGAGCAGGGAGGCAGTGGGAGAGATGCCAGGGAAGGGGGGGACTCTGCATCCCTGGAGGTGTCGAGGAGAGGGGCACAGACACTGGTGGGGATGATCCAGGTGCAGCGGTGCCTGTGCTCTGCTATGGGGGTCACCCAGGCTTCTGAGCTTTATTGGTTGCCCCCTCCTCACATTTCTGCTGTGTGTGTCAGGGGGGTTTTAAGCCTCCCGCAGAGGTGCTGGGTGCTGGCTGCAGCACAGGCTGGGAATGGGGACTGTGCCAATGCTCCTGCTGGCACCAACCCCGCAGGGTCCTGGCTAGGGGGTCTTGCCCCTGCGCTCAGGCTCAGACCGATGCCAGAGTTGGGGTCAGGGAGGGATTTTTTTTACTGGTACAGACTAGGGGGCTTTGCCTTCCCCTGTGCTAGGGGCAATCTCTTGGCCAGATATTAACCATCCTGGCAGCAGCAGGACGCTGGTAGCTGTGCTCCCACTTGCTTCCCCTGTGGCAGGGTCGGGTGTGATGTCTTGTGGCTGTGCACCAGGTTAGGTTAGACAAGGATTTGTCTGGGCTGGTTTGGATAGGGCTGATCCTGCCTCAGGCAGGGGTTTCATAGGTTGTAAGGACGGAAGGGACCTTGGAAGATCATTGCATCCAGCACCGTGCACCAGGCAGGGAAGATAACTGGGGCTAAGCGACCCCAGCGAGGTGACCGTCCAGTCTCCTCTTGATGATTTCCAGGGTAGGTGATCGCACCACCTCCGGAGGGACTGGACTAGATGTGATGCCTGGACGTCCCTTCCAGCCCCACTGCTTTAGGATTTCAATGCTTTTGATGATGATGGGTTTGTCCGGGCCGGTTTGGACAGAGCCGATCCTGCCTCAGGCAGAGGTTGGACTAGACGTGACTCTTTTGGGCTCTTCAAGTTTGGCTTCTCATTCAATCCAAATATGTCCAGCACCCTCCCCACCATGCTTAGGTATTTTGCTGAGCTCCAGCCAGTCACCCACCTCCCATCCTCCACCGGGTTGGGAACGGTCGCCCACCCCCGTGTCTTCCCTAAAACGGTCCCGTTAAGGGCCTGCTGTGCAGAATGAGCCTCTGCCGCTGGTCCACAGGAAGTGATGCACGGACCTACTACTGCACGTACTGAGCGGTACAGGTCCTGGGTCCAATCCTAGTAGGTGGGTTTTCTACGCACGCTGCTGCCCACCCGTTCAAATCAACAAGCAGAGCCAGTCAAAGCAGCTTGGCTGTCAAGCAAGGTCTATGGGACCACATGGGCTGTTTGGGAAGGAGAATCTATCCCAAAATCAGGGGGGTCACGGAAGAGCTCTGGCCCCCACGGGTGCTGGAAGATGAGAGATGCCTCCAAGACCCAAACGATGGCCAAGGGGGTCTTTCCCAGTGCACGGTACCCGCCGGCTCCCTGCCGTAGGATAGACATCACCCAACCCGCCGGGTGCTCCCGGGCGGGCGACCATCCCGCGCTCACCTCGTCGGCCAGGAAGCGGAGTTTCTGCAGGAAGTTCTGCACCAGCTTCAGCTTGTCCTTCATGGTGTTTTTCTTCACCTGGGACCTCAGCGTCTTGGCTTGCTGGCCCATGTTCTCCTAGGGTGGGAACAGAGCCCAGGCCCACGGGCGGCATGTGAAAGAGAGCAGGAAGGAAGGAAAATCCCGGGGCAAGTCTGCATGGGTCGAGCGGGGGTGTCCCTGTTTGCACCAAGGGCAGGAGGATGCTGACTCGGTGTGCGGGGTGGGGAGGGGAAGGGGTGTGCATCCAACGTGGTCAAATGCAACCAGGGTACAGGGCTTCCCCCAGCGGCTCGGCAGCAACAGCCCCCCACAGCCCTCCTTGCACCGCAGCAGGAGATGCTCTCACCAGCTCCCTCATGCAGGACTTGAGGCGCTCGCGGTCCAGCCGGGTCCGGGAGGAGTGGTTCTCGTCCTTGTTGGCGAGGGTCACGAAGCGGCTGGGGAGAGGCGTGGGGTGGGGGTGTCAGTCCCCCGGGGGCTCCAGGAAGAGGGGGCAGCAGCATCGGAGGGGCCGAGGGAGGTGTGTGGTACCCAGGCCTGGCTCTGGGTGCGGGCGTGGAGGTCAGGCATTGATGCCTCTGGCTGGACCAGCCCTCTCTGCCCATCAACCCACTGCTGAAGGTGGGCACTGGTCTCCTGCTAGGTGAGGCTGGGCCCACTCTAGCCCCCCAACCTTGCTTTGCAATTCACCCAGCATGCACCAGGCCTGGAGAGGCAGCTACCCCACACCCAGGCTTGGAAAGCTCCCAGGGATGGGGTCTGGGATGCCTCTTGCACTGCACATCTCTGCCTTTACACACTCACAAGCAGCCGCTGCTCAGCTCTTCCAGGACCCCCCGGAGCCGGCGCTCGGGGTGCGGCTTCTCTGTCTTGATCATCTCGTGCACGTCGTTGAGCCCCTCTTCCTGGACGAGAGCGGGGAGAAGGACTGGCACATCACGGGGGGAAGCTGGGATCCTGGCTCCCCTGTCCTCCAAGAGGCAGGACAGCCCAGCCAAGCATCTCTCCTGGCTTCCCACATGCCTCTGCCTTGCATGTAATCATCTAGCTGGGCTCCCCAGATTACCAGCCCAGTCTATGTGGAGAGCTAATACTTTGCAAGAGGCCCTGAAGCATGGCGTCTTTGGGGATGTTGCTGGTTGCTTCCCACCCCTCGTCCCGTGCCTCGTGCAATGGGTTGTGGACCCCTGGAAAGGTCAGACACTCTCTCTCAGGCTCTCTGAGCCCCAAGGGGGTTTGCGATTTGGGCAACAGCCTGCATAGGGCTTGGGGTGGGGGCTGCTCCTGGAGGTCTGGGCACAGCTTGCCCTGCAGCTGGGTGGGATCCCTAAGTAGCATCAGCCATGTGAGGAGCAGGAGACCTGAGCATGCCCCCCACCACCCATTGCTCTTCTCCCATCGGGTGGCACTGACCAGCTTGTCGGCAATCTTGTCCATGATGTTGGAGTTGTACAGCCTCCGCCGCTGGTCCTGCCACCAGCTCTTGATGTAGATGCAGGGCTTCTTGTCAAAGTAAGGCAAGTGGAAGTAGTTCCTGCAATGCGGGGATAGGTGGAAGGGCACGCGGGTGTGAGCAGGGTTTGGGAAGGGAGTAGAGAGGGCGCTGGGATGGGACTGAGCTGGCATGACTCAATCAGCCCATTTCCCTCAGCCTCTCCTCACCAGTCCTGTCCCTAACTATTTTCATTGCCCTCCGCTGGACTCTCTCCACCTTGTCCACATCCTTTCTGCAGTGGGGGGCCCACAGCTGGACGCAGGACTCCAGATGTGGCCTCCCCAGTGCAGAATAGAGGGGGAGAATTATGGGAAGCCCGGCCAGGAGGCAGGATGCTCTCTGGGATATGGGAGTCCTGGCCCCTGTCACTGTATCTGAACTGCAACGGGCAAAAAGGGGTGGTCGCGCCTCCCTGCTGCAAGCCTAAATTCGTCTGTGCAGGTGCTGGGGGGCCGGGGCTGTGGTCCCCGATGCACTTGGACTTGGTCTCCCGGGCCTGTTTCATGTCTTCTCCTGGAAGTCAGGCTGGAGGAGAGAGATGCTGGCTCCTGAGCCCTCCCTGCCTTGGTCTTGACTTCCCCTGCATCCTGGGCAGAGCTCGGAGCTGGTTCAGACACGAGGTGGCAGCCCATCCTCACGGCTCAGACCGCCGCTGGCATGGGAGAGCCCAGGATCCCGAGGGCCCTGGAGGGGAAGGGGTTAATGTCTCCAAATGGCCTCTCTGAATGTCATGAGTGTCTTTCACCTCCACACCCAGGAGAGGGCTTTTATGGCCTGTGTGCAATCAGGAAAATGAATCTAGATTAGCTTTTAATGTGCATTAGTGCAACTGCTTTATACCCTTGTGTGGACACTGTGAGGCGCAGCCCGCTCTGCTTATTAGTGGCTTGAAGCTGCAACTTCAATGGCTTGATGTGGCAACCAAGCAGGGTCAGGTTGGATCTCAGGAAACAGGTCCGCACTAGAGTAGGGAGGCGGCGGGAGAGATGCCGGGGACATGGGGATGGCACGGCTGGAGAGAGGGGACAGACACCGGTGGGGATGCTCTAGGTGCAGCGATGCCTTTGCTTTGCTACGGGGATCTCCCGGCTTCTGGGCTTGGACTAGCTGTGACCTCTGCAGCTCCTGTCCAGCCCCAGCTCCTTCCTCTTTCAACCTGCTATTAAATCCCCCCTCCACCTTCTGGCAGGGGGAATCTCCGATTTGAACAGGTGCTCGAGGCCCTGAAGGGACAGCAATGCGCCCCCCGTTGCGACACGCCGTCATCTCAGCTGTGAGACTCAGCTGCACTCCAGTCCCCTTCCCCTGCCTGCTCTCTTGGTCCCTGCCCCGTGCTCCCTGCCCCGTCTGCTGCTCTGCTTTCTTCTCCCCGCCTTATCTATGTGTCTGCTTTCTGCTCCCGGCTTGATCTGCTGCTCTGCTTTCTTCTCCCTGCTCCGCTCTGATCTGTGCCCCATGCAAAGGCGACCGGTGGCACTTGTTGCACACATGCCGTGGGTTGGCCACCCCTGCCCGACTGCATTGCATTGGATGATGATGATACACGTGGCATGGGAGGGACCTGACAGTTTGGCCGCCTGACAGGGTGGGAGGGAGAGGCTTCAGAGCCAGAGAGATCTGGTGCATAAGATCCCCTCCCAGATCAAACCGGAGGTGTCCAGCAATGCTGCATCTCACTTGCCTGTCAGTGATCAGGGGCTTCAAGGGTGGAGTGGAGGAGACAGAGACCAGCTCCCCGTCCTCATCGGCCTCGTCATCACTCAGGCTCTGGAGCAGCTCAGACTCCTCCTCGTCCCCGTCTTCCTTCCTCCTCCGTGGGTTGGGCTTGCCGGTACCGTCAATCTGGTTCCCGTAGTTACCTGGAGAAAGGTGCAATGGGATGTCCTAATGCCCATGCTCTGTGCAGCGCTTGCTTGGGGCTCCTCAACTGGCACCCAAATAAAGGGATTTTCCCCCCAGGGGCCCTTCCCAACCGAGCTTTGACTTCCTAGAATATGGCCAATGGATGATATATAAGGTCACTATTGCATCTGAGACTCCTCCTTGTTCCCGCTTCTGGGCCACCCTCTCCTGGGTCTTGGCCAGGAGGGATGGGACGCAGGGCCTCCACGGCTAAGAGGATGAGATGCCACAGCTTGAGCTAAGCAACTGAGAGCCTGATCCTTTTCAACCTATTAGGCACCTAAATCATAGTACAATAGAAACATGAGGGTTGAAGGGACAGCGAGTCCAAGCCCCTGCTCAAAGCAGGACCAGCCCCAACTACATCATCCCAGCCAAGGCTTTGTCTATGTGGGGCTTCAACACCTCCAAGGATGGAGAGTCCACCACCTCTCTGGGGAGCCCGGTCCAGTGCTTCACTATCCTCTGCGTGAGAAAGTTTTTCCTAATATCCAACCTCAACTTCCCTTGCTGCAGCTTGAGCCCATTGCTCCTTGTCCTGCCATCTGCCCCCGATGAGACCAGCCCAGCTCCAGCTTCTTTGCAGCCCCCCTGCAGCAAGGTGAAGGCTGCTATTCAATCCCCCTCGGTCTTCTCTTCTCCAGACTAAATCAGCCCAGTTCCCCCAGCCTCTCCTCACCAGTCCTGTCCCCCAGCCCCGCAACCATTTTCATTGCCCTCCGCTGGACTTTCTCCAATGTGTCCACATCCTTTCTGTAGTGAGGGCCCACAACTGGACACAGCACTCCAGCTGCTTACACTAGGCGTGTCTACACATGCATTTAAGTGTGCCTAAATTTAATCCACACTAGCTTGATGTGCATTAAGCAGGTTTAGACAAGCGTCTACATGTGCAGGCGTTAAGGTGCATTAACGTTGTATGTTGGACTAACTTTATTCCCAATTTACTCCACTTAATGTGCTTTAATGCGTCTACATGTGCATTAACGTGCTTTAACTATTTGTGCCTAAATTTGATACGTGCATTTGCAGGTATCAAATTAAGGTGCGATTAGCCTAAATTCATCATTTGTAATGCACATTAAGGGTGTACATGTGTAGAAGTGTGTCTTTAATGCACATTAAATTGGGCTAATGTGCATTAATACATCTCATGTAGATGAGCCTACTATGCTCACTGCCTGGCAGTCCTATTCTTCGTTGTGCTGCTAATGTGAGACCAGCACCTTACAGGGCTTTATAGTGTTGGCATGGACTGAGGCCCAGTGAACCCATTCTGTGATGGGGAGCTCCACCGGCCTTTACTGCTGCATCTGTGCCGGGGGCTTCATTAGGAAGCGTGCCATCCCATCGCTTACAAACCAAACCAAACAAAACAAAGAATAGCCAGACCAACCTATGGTGACCTCAAAGTTGATGGGCTTGTCCCCAATCTTCCTATCGATCATGGATGCTTCCAGGAAGGCTCCAAAGAGGAAGAACTCCTCCATTTTCCCAGTGCAATTCTGCAGGAGGAAACCAGGTCATTAGCACAGTGGCCTGAGATCAGTTTATCTGGTTTATAGATTATCAAGTCCCTCCAGCTAGGACTGGTGGGATGCCTCTGAATTGGCAATGTGTGTTGGTGCCCAGGTAGGCTCTGTTTGGGGGATCCCATCACATTGGTTTTCTAAGGGAAAGGGAGCCATGGTGTGCACCTGGATACTGAAAGCTAATGTCCCACACAAGGCCATTAAATTAATCTGAATTAATTTTTAAAGCCAACAAATTCAACCCCTGTAGGGAGATTTTCCTTGGGAATGTAGACGGCCTTAATTCAGTTTCACTTCATTTACTGTGGAAGGGAGTTATGTAACATTGACCGAAGGTCACGTTTGTTCTGAATGCTGGCGTTCACACAGGGGTTGCATCCGGTTCAACTAACTCGCTTCAAAAATTCACCTCGTTAACTTTCCTGAGTGCGCCCAGCCTGGACCAGCCCCAAATGGCTGCTTGTCCACAGAACGAGAAGCAACACACCCTGGCTAATGTGGTCTGTAGAGATGTAGCTCCACGTCTGTCTACATGATGGAGCCTCTGCCTCTACAACGCTGTCAGCAGATGTGCAATACTCACGTCTGCGACCGGCGTGGCCTGCTCCACTTGCACCTCGGTGGAGCTGTTGATCTCGGGGTTGCTCGTGTCCAGGATCTCGATGGCCAGGCTGATGAGCAGCCGGGCGCGGAAGGAGACGCCCTCCCCCAGCCCTTCATTCAGGTCCTGGTGCTCATCCATCAGCGTGTAGTTGCGGGTGGAGCCGTACATGTTCACCCAGGCTGGGCCAAAGGTGGGCAGGAAGCCTGTGGCGTGACCACAGAGACAGCCCACGTGATGAACAAGGCAAGGGATGTTGGCATGTCGGCACGAGCAGGGACAGGGTCTTGCTTGAACAGCGGGTAGGACACATAGGCTCTTGGATCTGGTCACTCAGCTCCCAAACCCTGAGTCAGCCCAGGTTTTAGATTATACCCCTGGCTACTGCTTTCCCTCGGCGGGCTAACCACTAGGCAAGGCTGCCTATGGCCCAGTCCATTACAGGCCCCACTGGAGATGCTCTGAAGGGCCCAGGTTTTGGAAGGGGGTTTGCTGAGCACTTTCTGGGATGAATTCAGGCCCCCAGGACTGGTCAGGATGGGCGAGGTGCCATGAAGAAGGTGGCATTACACCCCCCTGACCCTTCCCTCATTATTACCTTTGTCCCCCTCGTTGGAGATCTTCCGCAGGTCAATGAAGTGTGTCCCAATGGCTACGTCGTTGACCTTGTCTGAATCCCGGATCTGGATCTTGATCCTCTTGCACAGCGGGGGGAACATCTCCGTGAAGACGATCTGCTCGTGCCACTGGGGCTCATAGCTGCTCTTCTGCACCGACGTCTTCCCCTGCCCGGTGGGAGGAAGAAGGAGACTGAGGGACTCAGCGTGGATGAGGCACCCGGCTCCCATCACTCCTGGCTCCCTCCCTTGCTGGGGACCAATGGCACTTGCACTGGCTCGGGGACTCTCCCTTCCCAGCAGATGCAATGGGGCCTCCAGGCTATTGCAAAGCACTTGGAAGCACTCACACAGCCAAGGCAGGAGAATGTGGCATATGACACAGGGTGGGTCACGATTTGAACCTTCACCCCTGAAAACCCCCAAGCAGCCCTGACATGGTAGCTCCCATGAGCCATGACCAGCTACCTCCCACCCCCAATTCGGTGACCAACCGACTTACCCGTTGTCCTGCAAAGAGCACTTGGACGTAGGGATCCACCAGGTCCTTGTTCTCCCCGATGAGAGCCTTCTTCACGTTGGCCATGATGCTGGTGTTCATACGCGGGAGCCCCTCTGCACGGTAGATCTTGACGTAGAAGCGAGCCCACTGTCTCTCTGGGGGGACGCCATCGGGGAGGAGCAGGTTCCTGCAATGTGGACATAGATATCTTGGGCTGAAGTCACTGCGACCCAAGAGGATGGGATGGGTAGCCACTACATGGCTGAGACATGGCCTTGAAGGTGGAGACTTCAAAGGGGATGAAGCACTGAAGAAGGGTGTGAAGAGATGATCCTACCTAGGGCCACACACTTGGCTGGCCTCATCCCTACCTCCCAGCCCACCTTCCCCATTGCATGGGGGCGGATATTCTTGCTTCCCTGGATTCAGAGGTCATCTATGTTGGAGAGCACATGACAAAGAGCTTGGATCGTCTGGATAGAGATGCAAGGAGAGGAGCAACACAAATGGCCTCCTCTCTGCTGGCCTCCACCCTCAGCTCTGCCCAGGAGCAATGCACTTTAACCAGACAATGATGGGAACTTCATTGCAGTGCTCTGCGGGGAGATGGGATAACTCGCTTGGTACCACCTAGGACAGAGACACATGTCGCTGGATCCAAAGTAACTGGTGGTCTCGTGAGTCATACCAATGCATCTGCAATGAGTTGAAACAGGTACAGAATAAGGCCTCGAAGAGTTTGTTCTGGATAGTCTGTGATGTCCCTTCTAGCCTGATGGGACCAGTGTAACCAGGGAAAGGGCCCTGATTTGGCATTAAAGCCCATGGGAGCCAATGGGTTGAGGACTCAGTTTTAAACTACGTGGACCTCTCTCTCTGGTATTTGGCATGGATAACAAGAAGGCAGGCTCTACAATAACATCTCCAGAGGCTGAGGGACCTCTCTACTCATAGGATCATAAGAAAATAGGGACAGGATGGGACCTCACAAGGTCTCCTAGTCCAGCCTCTTGCTCAAGGCAGTATCATCCCTAATAAACCATCCAGCCAAGTGTCTGTCCAAACTTCTCTTGGAGACTTCCAAGGATGGAGATGCCACCGCTTCTCCGGGGAGTCTGTTCCCAACCACGCTCACAGTCAGAAAGTCCCTCCTCATCTCCAACCTCAATCTCCCCTGCTGCAGCCTGAGGCCATTGCTCCCACTCCTGTCCCCTATGGCCACAGAGGAAAGCCCATCTTCATCCTCTCTGTAATCATCCTTCATCCCCAGTCCCAGCAGGACAGAGGCAGTGGCAAGCATGAGGGATCAGTCTCCCGGGCTCATTCTGTCATTATCTTCCTGCCAAAGCAACTGGGCTAGTAGATGCTCAGCCAGTGGACTGAGGTCTTGTTTGCACTGCAAGGCTGTGGCCGCCACAGCTGTGCCAACAGAGCTACGTGGGCAAAGCCCTTAGTGGAGACGTGATTATGGCAACAGAAGGGCTTCGTCTGCCAACTATGCCCCTCCCAGGATAATTGAATCTCCGTGGGTGGGAGCCGTCTTCCTATTGGCATCGCAGCATCTGAGAAGAGAGTCTCACCGGTACAGCTATATTGGCTTGGGGGTGGGATCTTTTCTCACCCCCTCTCTGGGCATCCTGCTGCAATACTGGACTATGTTAGTAGGAGCGTTGCCAGCAGATCGAGGGCAGCGATTCTTCCCCTCTGTCCAGCACTGGGGAGGCCACATCTGGAGTCCGGTGTCCAGCTGTGGGCCCCCACTACAGAAAGGATGTGGACAAGTCGGAGAGAGTCCAGTGGAGAGTAATGAAAAGGGTTGTGGGGCTGGGGGACAGGACTGGTGAGGAGAGGCTGAGGGAACTGGGCTGATTGAGTCTGCAGAAGAGAAGACTGAGAAGGGATTTGATAGAAGTCTTCAGCTACGTGAAGCGGGGTTTGAAAGAGGATGGAGCTGGACTCAGTGCAGGCAGACGACAGGACAAGGAGCAATGGGCTCAAGCTGCAGCAAGGGAAGTTGAGGTTGGATATTAGGAAAAACTTTCTCATGGGGAGGGTAGTAAAAGACTGGACCAGGCTCCTCAGAGAAGTTGTGGACTCTCCATCCTGGAGGTTTTGAAGACCCGGGTAGACAAAGCCTTGTCTGGGATGATGTAGTCGGGGCTGGTCCTGCTTGGAGCAGGGGGTTGGTATAGATGTGACCCCCAAGGTCCCTCCAACCCTCATTTTCTATGATTCTACATATTAAGGAAAGGTAAGAGGTGCAAAAGTTGCAAGATATGTAAGAGGTGACGGCACATTGGAGTCAATTCTTATACACAAGCACGAATCAAGGCTTCAGGGATCCGTGGTTTGGGCTGCGGAAGTGCTAATGCTGGGACCATGCAAGGTGCTGGGCCTCAGACACATTAACCCAGAAGGAGATGTGGTAACAACAGCAAGAAGTTTGGTGCGTCAACCACTTGGCTCCAATCTGCCTTGAAAAACCCACTGAGCATGGACTAAGGGTAACCCAAGAAAGTAGGAAGAGGTTCAGCTGCTGCGGGAGGAACGAGACAGGCGCAGAGGTTCGGGGCTAGATTTCATCGGTGTCTGGAAGGCAGCAGAAGAGGATGTACTGAGAAATGTAAGGGGCTCTTTGCTAGCTGGTCTAACAGCACAGGACTGTGGGAAATGCAAGTATTTTGATCAAATGCTTGTGATCTCATAAGCACGGTCATTAATAACCGCAGTGACGATGCCATCTACTAGGCACTTGGTAATGGCGACAGCATTTTTGAAGGCTCGTTGCACGTCACTGTCTGACTGCTCCTGGGCTTGGGGTTGCATCAATTAATTGCAGCTGAATCCCTGACGTGGCCAATCAAATCGCAGCCTTGCAGCTGGCACAGCAGTGCCTGCCACACCTCATGGCATCAGCATGCCTGCGGCCCGGGCTTCATTTCATAGTTTCATAGTTTCATAGTTGGTCGGGTTGGAAGGGACCTGAGCAGATCATTAAGTCCGACCGACCCCCTGCCGTTTCCCCAGGAAGATATGGGAGGGGTGAAAGATGTGAGCAGTGCCTGGAGATGACTGCTTCCTTCCCCCCGTGCATGCACAGAGCCCCACGGGAAAGCGGGAGGACCCTGGAGAAACCAGCCGGGCAGATTCTCACCCCTCGATATCGTCCTCGTCGGTCTCGTTGGCTTTGTGCGGCGTCTTGATGGTGTCCCCTTTCCCCACCACCGCGATGTCGCACTTCAGGTAGCCTTTCAGCCCAGCCGTGAGGTCCTCGGGGTCGGACAGGATGGCCCATTTGTGGTAGAACTGGTGCTCTGAAAGTCAGGTGGGAAGCAAAGCCAGGCTCCTTACGGCACTCCAGGGGCGCACACACAGCAAGGATTCGAGAGCCGTCTACCCTGGGTTTTACTCCGTGGTCCGAGTGGACACATGAAGTTTTCCCATGACAACTGCCCTGGTGGCAGGAGAGCTGTCCTGCACTGAGCGTGTGACTACCCCAGGACTTAACGATCACACTTACTCGATTCTAAGATGACCCCCCATTTATCGTGGGAGGAGGAAGCCCCTGGTCTTAGAATTGAGTACAAGTGTGGGAGGGAGCAGGCAGCTGCTGGGGCTTGGGCTTTAGCCCCTTCCTGGATGTCCAGCTGCCCTTACCTTTGCCACCACCCCTGCATCCTACCCTCTCCCCCTTGCGGCCTCTTCCCCCCTCCCAAGCAGCCTCTGCTCCTCCATCTGCCCCTTTCTCTGCCCCCTTCCCTTTCTCCATCCACACTGCAGCCTGGGGCACCGGGCATGGCCCCAGCTGGGTCCTATAGCAAGGCGGCTATGTGGGGCTCAGCTGGGGCTGTGCTCAGTGCACCAGGCTAAACCAGGGACAGAGCCTGCTGCAACGGAGCAAGGGCAAGGGCGGCAGGGAAGCAGGGAGCAGAGGTGGGGAGAGGGAAGCAGTGGCGGGAAGGAGAGGCCAAGGGGAGATGGGGAGGCTGGGGGGTGGGAAGGCACAGGAGGGGGAGCAGAGACAGAGGGGGAAGGTGGGTGCTGAGGCTACAAGGGGGACCAGGAAAGGGGCAGGGGTGGCAGGGGGTCTGGCACAAGCAGGGGGCAAGCTTCTTGACCCCCTCCTCCCCCACTGCCTGCTCACATACAGTAATGTGGAGGGGGGATGAATTAAAGATGACCCTCCAACAATTAGATTCTGTATGTGGAAAATTGTAACACATTTATAGGTTTTCCATAGAAAGTCATAGAAAACGAGGGCTGGAAGGGAGCTCAGGAGGTCACATCTAGTCCAACCCCCTGCTCCAAGCAGGACCCGCCCCAGCTGCATCATCCCAGCCAAGGCTTCGTCTACCCGGGGCTTCAAAACCGCCAAGGATGGAGATCCCAGCACCTCTCTAGCAATGTTCCCTCCAAGAAGCAGCGGTCCGTGAGCACACCGCCTCGGCCCGTGAGCGCGCCGCCTCGGTCCGGTGTGGGACACTTACCAAAGGGGGCTGAAGCCAGGGGCCAGTGGCTGGAGGCTGGAGCCGGGGGCCAGGGGCTGGAGTTGGCAGCTGGGGGCTGGAGCTGGAAGCCGGGGGCTGGAGCCGGGGGTCTGGTGGCTGGAGGCTGGGGCCGGGGGCCAGAGGCCAGGGGCTGGAGCTGGGAGCCGGGGGCCAGGGGATGAAGCCAGGGGCCTATGGCTGGAGGCTGGGGCCAGAGGCCAGAGGAGCACTTCCCCAGAGCCGGCGGAGCCTGCGCCAGCCTCCATCCCTGCCTTGCCTCTCCTCAGAGAGGAGCCACTGCCTGCCCCAGTGAAGCTCCGCCAGCTCCGGGACACTGGACATGCCCCATGCCAGGGAGCAGAGCAGTGTCCCGGGGCAGGCAGCGGCACCTCCCCGAGGTGAGGCAAGGCAGGGCTGGAGGCTGCGGCGGGGGCTAGCGCGGGCTTTGCTGGCTCCGGGGAAGCGCTCCACTCCCCAGCTCTGATGCGGGGGAGCACAGCACTTCCCCAGACTCAATCAGCCCAGTTCCCTCAGCCTCTCCTCCCCAGTCCTGTCCCCCAGCCCCACAACCATTTTCATTGCCCTTCGCTGGACTCTCTCCAATGTGTCCATATCCTTTCTGTAGTGGGGGGCCCAGAACTGAACACAGGACATGTCTAAAATGTAAGTACTTGGGGGTCATCTTAAATTCAGGGCTGTCTTAGATCCAGGTAATATGGTAAGTAGTGCAGCAGATGCATGAGGAATACCCCAGGCTAACTTATACCAGTACATAGCTACTCCTTTCATTCTCAGAGGTAACTCTGCCTGGATTGGAGGAGTACAACCCTGTCGTGCATCCACGCCACTTGTACCACAGGATAGATCAGCTTACCCCGTAGCAAGCATGTGGTTTGTCTTCACTTTCCACCCTTCCTGGCTTGTAAGCCACAGGAATAGTCAGTGAGAGCTAAAGACCTCCAAGACCCACACCTCTAGGGGAAGGGCACCGTAGCTGACAGACAGACGTGCCAACACCTAAGCGCAGAACTCCCCACCCACCAGCTACCTACCAGGCTGTGTGTAAACCATCCCCACGTCCATTTTGAAGGAGCCCACCAAGGTCCCGCTGCGCAGGAGGTTCTTAGAGTGGATCACCTTGAAACCAAAAGAGGCAGGAGACAATCAGCATGTTCAGTGAAATGGAGACTATCTGATGGATCAGGGCAGCGCACAAGGGATCCAGACTCCAGGTCTGGTAGGTCATGCCTGAGATGAGTTTGTGGGGGCTCAAGGCTTTGTGGGGCATGTCTCCAAGCCATGCAACTCGGTGTGTTTGACAGTCTCTGCCAAGGACTGGAATGGGACAGGATGCTGGAGCTCAGCCCTTGAGGTCCCTTAGCAAAGCTGGGCTGAGGCATGGAGGGCGCATCTACACGTGACACTTTAATGTGCATTAGCCTAAATTGATATGCATGAAGGGCATATGTCTACACGTGTGTGCCCTTAATGCACATTAAAAATGGTGAATTTAGGCTATTAGTGCCTACATATGATACCTGCAAATGCAAGTATCAAATTTAGGTGCGAACAGTTAAAGCACAGTAACGCATGTGTAGACACATTAAAGCGCATTAACACTGCATGTGTGGACCGACTTGGGATAACTTTAATCCACACAAGCTTCAGGACTAGGGATGGTCATCTGCAGGGGTCGGGAAGGATTCCACCCTCCCCACAAATGTTGGCCAGATATGGTGGCGTTTTTCGTGCTTGTGCCACCTTGGGTTTTTTGCTTCTCTCAGAGACTGGCCAGATCTGGTGATGGAAAAGTGGGGGAAGCAGACTTCTGTGGTCATGGAGTGAGTCCATTTTAGACGCTTGGCTTATAAGTCTTGCTTATAAACTCTGGGGCAAAATGATGGGCTTGGAAGAAATTCATCTCCGGGTCAGACCAGACTGACTTTGACTTTGACTTTGGGGTGGGGGGGATGTTGCGGGGTGTCTTCTTTTGCACTGTGGTATGTGGCCACTTGCTAGGATCAGCCTTGCCTCTTCAACTCCCTGCCAGGGGAGAAGTCATGGGTACCTGGGTCTTCTGTGTGCCTCAGAGCAGGAAACCCAAGGCAGCAGGCTCAGCATTGGGACCTGTGGGGGAAGTCCATGGCTTGGATGGTACAAATGGAGTCTGGGGGCCTTATACTCTAGGAAAGGATGGGATGGACGAAAAGAGGCTGGGAGAAGGGCGGTAAGACGGGAGCTGCTGTGGCTCTAGGTTGGAGCGAGGATTGTCGAGGTGCGGCCAGGCCTGGAACGATGGAGGGCATCAGCAGAGCCAAGAGTGTGGGAGAAGTTGGGGGTTTGGGCAGGTCAAGGGTGCATTGGCAGAATTGGGGCAGAAAGGAGTCACTCCAGGTCAGGACTGCAGCACGTGGGCACAGCTCCTGGCCCAAGAAGCCCCCATGGCACCTTCCCCCGGCAGGAGGAACAGCCTCTTCCCCATAGCACCCGGCAGGGATGAAGAAGGGACCACACACGCACTTACCGACAACTTGATGATCTTATCAAACATGACGTCCGGGGGCACATGGAAATCGAAGACAAAGTACTGGCAAAGGAAAAGGAGAGGTAAGCGCAGGGGGAAAATGCCGGCACCTTTCAGACAGATGTGGGGGGGCGGGGGGTCCAAGCCCTGGTAACAAACAGCAGCCACGGGGACCTGGCTCCAGGCGATGTCGCCATGAGGATGGCACAGGCCCTTGGCAGAGGGGCCTTAAAAATGTACAGTGCTGGTGGTCAATGGCACCAAAAGGCCAATCTATCTGCTCTGAAGGTCTGGGGAAGGGGCGCAGGGCTTCTCAGTCTGGGCAGCAATGGAGCAAACACATTCCTCCCCATTTGCAAAAAGCTTCTCCTGCCTTCCTGCTGCTTGACTCTTCTTCTGAGCCGTATGGGTTCGAGAAGCTGGGAAGGAACATAATGCCCAAATCAGACCAGCTAAAGAAATGACTATGCCGTGCCTGGCTTCTTCGGATCAGACCTGAGGAACTAGGTCGTGCATTCGAAAGCTGGTCTAGCTTTATCCATTGCAAGAGACCACTTTAAAGATCCTTGCCTATCTCGACCATCACAGTTAAAACATCACTCTTACATGACCACAACTAGAGATAGACAGGCCGGCTCAGAACCAGACCCATACCCCCTACGGGGCAGCTGGGGTCTGGTTGGGAGCTTCATGCCGTATATCCTTCTCATCCCAGGGTGAGGGCTTGGTATGAGACTCCAGGTCAGGCCTCACCCTGCGAATGGAGAAAGGCGACAGCCAGAGGCATTTTTGTCAGTCCTCGCACACTCAGAAGAGCCAGCATCCTCCTGGCACAGGGGCAAGTTCTACCTCATGGGCTGCCCCATGCAGCTGGTCCAGCCAGGCATCGGGGGCAAGACGAGTGGGGGATTTCACCTCAACTCCCTGAAACACACGGCTTGGAAAGGACAAGTGCTCGGTCGAGTGTCCTCACTCGATCTAGTCTCTTGGAAGGATCCTGGAAAAGGCTTATCTCGGCGAAGCACACGAGGAAGGGGCCAGCTCACCTCGTTGTAGTAGGGGCAGTTGGTGGACTCCTTCATGGAGGTGTACTTCTTCTCATCTCCCACCTCCACGCACACCACAGGGTCCATGTTCAGCCCCACCAGCTGCCGTGCCTCGATGACCGTGATGCTCACCTGTGGGAGGAAAGGCACAGGCCCCCCTGGTCAGACCCGGTTTGACCCTCACACCTTCCTTTGGCCTCATTTGCTGAGGCACATCCAATGCTGGAGTGACCCCCGCAGAAGAGCCACAGAAAACCCCTCCCACCCTACTGCTAATGGGCCCAAGCCTTGACCTGAGGTACATGTATATGTGCATGTGCATGTGCATGTGTAGTGGAAGGTGGGGATGAAAACACTGGAAACCCCCACTTCATTCAGCCTCCGGTGCATCCCCCCATGTCTCATCCAGAACCGTGGCTGCAAAGTTAAACCAGCTTAGCTAACCCGTGGTAACTTTGCATACGCATGGTCTCCACTGTGGTGGGCCAGTAAGGGGCGCTCCTGAGCTGAGCTGCCCGCCTCACTGCACCTGGCCAAAAACCAAGCTCCGAGTGCCTCCCCTGGGATGCCTCACATCTGGCCCCCCCCACTTCCTGGGGTACCGCTGCCACCACCCAGACTCAGGTCTTTGTCTGGGCCCTGTGCTGCCCGGGATACACAGGCCCTGTAGACCTCAGGATCTTGGAGTGCTTCTATAGGTCTGAAGCACTCACCTGCAGCCTCCTGTGCAGGGGGAAAGTAAAAAGCTGAGCCCACCTTGGGGGGTCCCTTCCCTCTTGAGCACGCACAGCGAGGTGTGCTAAAGCAGACATATGTATTGAACCAAGAGGGCTGAAGGTGAGGGGTGGGAAGGAATACCAACAGCGAAATATAGAAGGAAAACCAACCTTGAGCACATCTAGGTGGCTTGTCAGCCTTTTGAAACGCAACTAGGGTACATTAAACTGAGCTTCCCGTTAGGTTTCTGGTATGTTACTCACTTCCGCATCCTGAGTACGAGAGAGAGCGCGGCAGAGGCCCGTGCTTCTGTGTATGTGTTTAAAAAATGTCCAACCCTCTTTTGTTCCTGAAGAGACCCTCTTAAATAGCCCTCCTGGCCGCACCAGCTGGACCCAGTCAGGGGCAGGTGTTATTTGATGGCGGCCAATCAATTTGACAAACATCACAGTTACCTACTGCAGTGACACGGGTTTAAACCTAGTCCCCATGTTGTGTGGTCAGGTAGGCAACCAGGTTGACAGACATGTGAAAAGACAAAGCAAGAAAAAAGCCAAAAAAAAAAGCAAAAGAGGAGGCTGGGAATGGAGTTGCTTCACACATGCGTGTGTGTATTGGAAGGTGCGGGTGAAAACACTGGAAGCCCCCAACCTCGTTCAGCCTATGTTGTGTCCCACCCAGAACCGCAGCTGCAAAGTTAAACCAGCTTCTCGAACCAGGGGTAACTTTGCATGCACATGGCCTCCACTGGTTCCCACCCACCTCCGGCTGGCCTGCTTCGGCCCTGGCCTATGCCGTCGGGTGTTATCAGTGTCGTTTTTGCTGCTGTGCTCGTAAAGTGTTATTAGCGTTGAAGTCTCAGGACCCATGGTGCTGGCAAAGGGTGCAGCCAGGAGATCCCAATACTAATCTTGTCTTAAAGAACGACCGTCGGCTTGGGTTGGTGGCAAAGATTTGGCCAGGTGAATTGTCTACAAGCACGGCCCTAACCGGTTTTGGCCTAACTAGGACATCACACCAGGAGTTAAGACATTTGTACCTGTGACAAGGTAAGTGGCACAATACCAGAGAGGCTCCTTTAGGCCACTACAAAGTTCCCCTGATTTCCAATTGTCGTCATCTGCCCCCACTGAGAACAGCCCAGCTCCATCCTCTTTGCAGCCCCCCTGCAGGGAGGTGAAGGCTGCTATTCAATCCCCCTCGGTCTTCCCTTCCCCAGACTCAATCAGCCCATTTCCCTCAGCCTCTCCTCACCAGTCCTGTCCCCCAGCCCACAAAATATTTTAGTTGCCCTCCACTGGACTGTCTCCAATTTGTCTACAAATTCCCTGGTCCCTTCAGGCACATCTTGTGTGTTTTCTTGGCAGCTGGCTGGCTGTGTTCATGCCCATTCCTCCATTGCTCTAGCTCAGGTGAGGAAAGGTGTTTGGCGGTTCTGCTTAGCCAACGTGCGATTTAGTTGGAAGCATAAAGAAGGTGTCCTCAGGATGTTCATCTTGCCCCTTCCCTCTGACCCCCAGGCCATTCCCACCCCCTGGGTCTGGGGCCTAGGGGAGACAGGAGAAAGGGGAAAGAGCAGCACCACTCACTTGGTAATCCATTGGCCGGCCAGCACTTGGCTCCATCTTGATGTCAGGCTTTGACCTTTGCAGTGGGAGAGAGGGGGGAGAAAAAGAAGCCACTCATCGTATGAAAATACAGAAATGAGCTGCTGCAAGTGTGCTGACTTAGATGAGACGCTGTAGTTTCTAGCACACAACACACATACCTTTCACCCCCATAATAAGCCCCCGCCTCAGAACTGGGGTGGGTGTTTTAAGCAAGGGAGCTAATTTTCTGCCCGGGGTGGAAGCACCCTGTGTTGAATCCTGCTTCACAATGCAGCAGCTGTGGCATTACTATTGAAGCAACTGAGGGAGTTAATTGATTTAATGTCTCATTGTTCTTCACTCACGTGTTAACAATCAGCTCTCCTTTTTTTAATGCTTGCAGTGCTCCACTAATCAAGTTAACTTTTCTGAGGGCAATTTTGCTGTCTGCTAGCTGCTCCTGGTCTCTCTCCTCCAATGGCACAGCCCTGAAGACTCTTTAGCGCTTTCCAGAATCCTAGAGCTTACCACGGAGACTAGGTTTTAGCAGCAGCTAGGGTTTCAGCTTTAGTTAAGCAGCAAAGGCAGGGTGAGCGAGCTGAAGATTAGGCCCCAATCGTCCTGTATATAGCCATAATGCTGGACAATTCTTTTTTTTCTACATTCTGACTTTCAAAAACAAGCTAAATCTCCCATCAGCTAAATCTCCCTCACCTTTTGTTCGAAACATTAGTGGTAACAGCGGTGACCGACGCCAGAGAGATGGTGTCTGGGTCCAGGCCTCCTCCAAGCCGCATGGCTTTCCGGTCCAGGTCTTCTGTCTCCAGGACGGCTGGTTCATCTGTTGGGTGGACACAGACAAAACAAGGGCCTTAATTTTTCTTACGTATCTGTGGTTGAGCAGTGACTGACAGTGATGAGAAAGCCAGCTGGTACCTCCTACCGAGCCCACCCCATAACTTAAAGACAGTGGTCAGCGGGGCCAAGGAAAGGCAGCGGTTTTGGTACAAGTAAGGAATGTTTCAGTGAAAATAAAGAGCAAGCCATTTGGGGGTTCAACTGAAAAAAAGAGCCACTCCCAAAACAGGCAAAAAACAAAACCTGAACACGGGACCTGGGGCATTTGAAGTGTCGTGGTAGGGGCTGTAACAGCAACCAGGAGAATAGTGAAGGTCCCCACGTCTCAGGCTATAGGGCACAGAGTCAGGAAGTCTTCGATTCAATCCCAGGGTAGTGAGAGCCCGGGGGAGCGGTGCAGTCTCCATCCCTGGAGGCTCCCAGCAGAGACTGGGCAGCATCCGTCCGGGCTGCGGTAGGCATAGCTCAGGCTGCATCTGGGCAGGCTCTGGGCATTGCTCACCTTGGAGGTGAGATATAAGGATTTATAGACCAGGAGTGCTCGACCTCCAGTTCCAACCCATGAGACCACATCCTCAAGCCCCTGGGTTGAAGGTTTGGTGTGTTATTACAGCTCCCTTCCTGCCATATTTCTGAGCACTGCTGTTACAGACCCTAATACGATCCCATTTGACATAAAGAGCAACAGGGGCTGACCGGACCATGGATGTGTCCTGTAAAAAAACAAGACGAGATACCAAACCAGATGCACAGTTCATCTGTTTCGATGGAGAAGGGGTTGGAAGGGGGGGGCACCAGATTTACCCAAAATCAGGAGCTCTGACTTGGGGGAGCATCTCATGCGTAGGTGTTGCCTGTGCAGCCACTTGCTGACAGTAAGCTCCTCCAACAGAGCGAAGCTTGCCCTGTCGTTTTTTGGTCCTTGCAGGAGGTTTTGTTCAGCAACCTCTGAACACCCAGGTGCTGAAACCCAGAGGATATCCCAAGGTCGTCGCGCCAGCTGTGTACAGCGTAGTGTGCATGTGCCGTGGCAGGGGCTTGCTAAAACTCAACCGGCAGCGCCCCAGCCCACCCGGGATTCTCCACGCCATGGCAGGGTGGGGGGCACAGGACGTACCTTGCTTCCGGTGATCCTCTTTCGGTGGGCGCATCTTGCCCAGTTTCATCGCCGAAAATACTCCTTTCCCGGATCTGCAGCGGGGGAGAAGGGAGAGCTCGTTGCGTGCGCTGTGGTGAGGTCTGGGCCTTTCTGGACAGCACAGCACTGTAGGAACACCCCAAACACCCCAAATGGCAACAACTCCCTGAGCTTAGTGATGCATTGGGGTAGCGTGGCTAGGACACGCCACAGTGCAGGAGAGAGTGTAGTGGCCAAAAGCACATCCAGCCACCTCTGCCAGCGGCCCGTTGAGAGCTGGGCCACCCAGCCTGAGGTTGGGAGGGATGTTCTCCAGGAAGAGAAGCCATCACAAGGCTTCGACATCACTTCAACCATGTTATGAAGGCTAAACTATAGTTATTGAGGTGACCCTTAAGTTGTGTCTGACCTCTGGGCTGGCTTCTGCCATGGGGGCCAAGTCATCCTGAATACTTTTGAGCTCTCAAACTTGACCTGCCACCGGCCAATATCCAACAGCATCAAATGGTCTTGCTCCACCGACTTCAACAGCCACTGTCAATAGGACTATAGGAAAATGTATAGCAATACAGGACCTGACTCCTGAACTCAAAAGTGCCTTGGTTACTTCTGATCGGACGTACCTGCACCACATTGTCATGTCCTTGTTCTCTGGTGGGATGAAGGCATCTTCCGATGTCTGATTTCTGAATTGCAAATTCACCTGCCACTAGCATTCATTTAAATTGGCTGACATTTCTGACAGCAGAAAACATTTGCAAGGATACTCGCTCTGATTTATAACGGCCTTCATATTCTGAGCAACTTTCACATGTCATTTAAAAACACAGCAGAGAGCCAAGCCAAAACCAGCCCAAAGTGGATCTGAAATGCAGCCGGCTGGAATCTGAGATATTTTCAGTAAGTGATATTCCTAGAAAACACATTGTGCTACGTGAGCCATTGTAATAATAACCTTAGACTTAAAACAATTTTAGACCAGCTCAGAAACTGGTCCCAGTTGGAGCAAATAATAATACGCTGGTTGGATATAACAGGAGCTTAACATACTGACTTCTAGGCTGAACAGAAACTGGAGCAATGGGTTCATATAACACATTCATAAACTATAGTTATTTAATATATTGACACAGCTTTGGGTCCTCACACTGGATCCATGTCATATGCTGGCAGAGGCAATATGCAGGGTTCATTGAACGATTGAACACATGATTCCCAGCGTTTTCTTCGCTGTTTCTTTGAGCTGTGCTTTCTGTTATATCAAGAAGTATGTGAAAAATGGTTGGCAAATGTTTCGAGGGTCATAAAGCCTACTGGCAAAAAGACCACTGAACTTGGGAAATTTAGTGCATTGTGGGTGTGCCTACACGTGTATTTATGCATGTCTAAACTTAATGCACCTTTGCGTAAGGTGCATTAAGGCAATTTAGGCATGTGTCTACACGTGGCATGCTAATGCGCATTAAGGTGCATTATATTTTAGGCGTGAATAGCTAAGTTGCATTAGCACATGCAGATGCACTAATACACATTAATGTAGTGTGTATTCATTGACACACACCACAGTAATGCACATTAGTGTGTCTACACGTGCACTAATGTGTTTTAACTAATCACACCTCAAGTTGATACTTGCTTTATGCCGGTATCAAATTTAGGCTCACAGTCTTAAATTGCCATTTCAAAGGTACATTAAGGGTGCCCATGTGTAGTTGCGCACCTTGGGACGCCTTAAATTGGGCTAATAAGCATTAAATACGCACGTGTAGACATGGCCTGTTAGTTGACCACGAGACCACGGGTCATCTCCTGAGATGCCCTGTAGCACCACGGTGCACCCCGCAAGATCTGGCAACACCAACACCGGGAGCAGCGTCCTGTGCCGGATATCGAGAGCAACCGATATAGAAAGGTTGGACCGGAGACCCAAGGAAGAAGTTCAAAGGGGGAGTCCACTCAAAACCTAACCTGGAATGAGGGCTATTTCGTATTTTGCTATCTTCCAATCACGGAAGAGCAGAAACAAAACCACGTGACACCCATAGCCAATCCCAGGCTGCTCATGAAGGGCCAACGATTGAAGACTTCGTCTGAGAGTTGACAAACCAAGGTCAATCCAATGGCTGAAATGGGCAGAGCTGGCTGGGAAATGCCCGGACATTGGTTTTGCGGTTCAGAAACGGCGCTGAGTCCAAGCTAAAACTTTTCTGAAGGGTGTATGGATTTCTGCATGAAGGGAAGGAGCCTCAGATGCCGGGAAAATGGGGAAAGGTCTTGGTTTCATTCCCAGCAGAATATAACTCAGTGCTGAGCTCTCACCACTTTGCTTCCCAGCACAGGGCTGGTTTCACTCAATGGTTAGTCGGAGGCTCCCACATCACATATCTACACTTGTGCATCGGGATTAAAAGTCAAGTGAGTCACTGGGGAGGGAGCACAATGTGCACAAACCACTTTGCTTCTGTAGGGCTCCTACCTCCCAGGTCTTTGGGCAAGAAAGGTTTAAAGCCAGGAGCCTGTTCCTCCATGCTACAACCCTACCAAGGACTAATGCACCTCCAGGCCTTCAGGGAAGGAGAATTGAAAAACAACTGGTCACTGATATCCATGTCTTACTAGGTAAGATCCCTGGTTATTCAGCTTTCAAGCAGCCGGGACTCTGTGATGTGGATCCCTCCAGCCCAGGCCGACAATGATGTGGGCAGGACTCTCATTTCTCTGCCAGATGCTATTGCAACTTTACTTCCTTCGCAGATGTAAAGTTTCCCTGCACACCCTCCAAAAGCCAGGGCTGGTCTATGAGAGCAGCTTGCAGGCAGCGGATAAGCTCCCAATGAAAAGCCACCCAAGCTTGGCTATTAATTATTAAGGTTCGTTTTAATCTGTGAACAAAAGCAAAAGGCAGATTGCAGGTGTATGAGGGCATGGCAGCTGCAGAGAGAAGACGACAAGGCTCATATTTAAGGAGGTGAAGAAAGGGCTAGGGGTCAGCGGCACTGCTGGGAGCGACAGCTCGCATTCAGCCCTGCACTTAAATGTGGGGCTTATCCCAGGTTAGCCAGAGGGTTAAGCCCAGGCTTAGAGATAAGCAGTCTCCTAATAGGGCTGGATTTAAGACCAGGCGCTGGTATGCATTGCCTGGGGCACTTTGCTAATTCAGGACCTGCCTGCAAGGGTCAACCAATGAGCTACCCTGGGCATGGACTAGCATTTTCACTGCTAGATGGATGCAATAGTAAGCACTCGCCTTCAGAAAGCTTCTTTGACCCATCTCTGACCGACTTAGTCTACAAGGTGCGAAATGGGCACCATGCCTTAAGCATCCCCAGTCCCGGCGTAGAGTGGGCAGGAAGGGAAGAACCACGGCTGTGCTCCGAGCCAGCCACAGACAAGACTCCCTTGTTCACCACCTTCATCCCCAGCCCCAAATTGGCAACCTCCTATTTTTCCCCCCTCCCTTTGCTCCAGGGAGAGTGAGGAACGGGCGGGAAAAAAGCATGGGACAGAGAAGGGGATAAGAGAGTCCAATCCAGTATCACCATTTCTGCCCATCAAGGAGAAAGAAAAATAAGAGGATAGCAGGGGATCAGTAAAATAGCCAGGGCGCACACACACAGCAGCTGGGGAAAGAAAGGAGGGGTTGCATGAAGTATACCCCTGCCCTCCTTTCCCTCCATCCCCCACCTGTTGCCCTTTCAGATCCAGGGAAGTTTGCAAACAGCAGATTGTCTCCCGCCCCCCCCGCTCCCACCCCCTTTCCATACACGGCTGAGATCTACCTTCACCAGCTGCCGGTCCCGGGTCCAGCTTTCCCCTGCAAGGGATCAGCTCGCACACCAGATGCGCTCTTGGCCGCCGGTGCGTGCAACGGGGGCTCTAGCCGCACCGCACAGCTGCCATCCCAGCACAGCCCGGCAGAAAGGACGCGGGCCAAACCGAAGCCTTGCCCTGCACCAAGTGTGCAAGCAGGGTCGACGAAGGGTGGGTGAAGCAGAGGTCCTGGCCGATTCTCTGCTCCCATCCGCCTCCGACGCTTCGCAGCGTGGAGCAAAGATGCAGGCCGTTGCCCCGCTCCCCCCTTTGCCCCCCACCACCAAAGCCAAAAGAGAGAGGGGAGCTGAATGGAGCGGGCTGGGCAATGCAGACGGGAGCTGGCAGCGGCTGAGAGCTGATACCGTCCCCGTATGAATATTGGATGAGGGCCTGAAAACCTGACACGCCGCCGCTCGTGCTGCGATCCTTCCAGGTGGCCTTGGAGAACCGGCCCCCGCCCGCTTGCCCACCTGTCTGGCTGCAACGCAAAGGGGCTCCAGGTCTGGCGTGGATGGGAAGGGGTCACTTGGAGCCAGGGCAGGGGACCCCCAACACCAATGCAGCCCCCGGTCTGCTCTTTACCACCCCACCTGCTACTAGCAGCCGTGACACTGATGCCTGCCGTGTTGCATGGCGGCTCTAGGGTCCTGCTACCCGCCCTGGGTGGAAACCCAGCTTCCCCCATTCCCTAGACGGGTTTGAGATCAGCCCAGCCAAAAGGACGAGCCCCACACCGGGCCTTTCTGCAGGGAGAGGCGGCTGCCTCACAACCTGCTTCGAGTTAAGACTCTGGTTACGGTTGCTCGTGAATTATGCAGGGCAATTCGGATGTTTTAATTGCCACTTTGGTTGTGTGTGTGTGTGTGTGTGTGTGTGTGTGGGGAGGGGAGGCAGTCATCATCTCCCTGTTTCCAAAGACTTAGAGGGACCTGGTGTGAGCTGAAAACCAGTTCCCTCCTTCTCATCACCCCCTTGGAGCAAAGTGGGTCTAAACCCTGTCTGCCCCCCGCTCGCCATGCAAACTGCGGACTGGAAGCAGTAGGGGATTGAGTGTAGAAAAGACAAGGCTGGGGTGGGGTTGATCGCAGCCTTCAGACACCTGAAGAGCAATTACAGAGAGGATGGAGATGGGCTTTTCTCAGTGGCTGCAGGGGACCGGATGAGGAGCAATGGCCTCAAGCTGTGTCAGGGGAAACTGAGGCTGGAGATAAGGAGCTTTCTGGCTCCTAGGGTGATCGGG